TTACAGTTTAGCCACCTAGAAAAATCTGATTTATTAACTAGATTTTTATCTTGCAGAAACACTATGCCAGAAAGTGAATTAAACTGTGCATGACAAAAATGAACCATCTGAACTTTACTTACTACTTTACTGCCTTCTTTTTTCTAAAAAAAGACAGCTGGAGAGAGCTTTCATTCATCTACACCAAACACACAGCTATTCTATACATAAAAGAATGACTACAAGAAAAATGTTCACATAATTTTAGTTCTGACTGTATTGTGACACAGATGTGAGTGGATATGTGTAATTACTGGGGTTGACTAAAACCATCTTCTGACAGCATGTTTTACATACAATTTCTGAAGGCAGAGAAATAGTGACTCAGAATTTCAAGGCTCTGCTTAATCCATAGAACTAAAGCAATTTGTGTTGCCTTTATCCTCTTTGTTCTATCCCTAATGGAGCCCTCTTGGCTAGCTATGTGTACCGGTCACATTCTTCAATGAATCTTGTTCAATTCCAGTCTCTAATCATCAACTTTTTTTTACCCCTTGCCCACTGCTCTCCCCTACTACTACTCCTATTATCCTACTAAGGAAGCAGAGAATCCCCAATACACACAACTTTCTAATAGAGAAAAATAACCACAAAGGAAAGAAAGTGGTAATAAACCCAAAAATAAACTATTAAGAAGAGATGCTTAGAAATGGGTAATGAAATACAGTGAAACCACAGCAACATCTCCAAAATAAAAATGTCCTTAATTCCTCATTTCTTTGTTTCACATACCTGTTTAAAGTTGTATGAACATGCTAGTCTCTACTTCTCCTGTAATTTACTGTGTCCTTAAGATATGTATGAACTCATTCAGAGAGGTTCTAACGAGCTTCCTACTTCCTTTTGTCTTGCTTATGTGAATTTTTAATCTGTCAGGCATCTTGGTTCTTTCTTTCTTTCCATCATTTACACTCAGCTTTTGCTGTTCTGATGCTTTATTTTACTCTCTTGATGCTTGAAATGGTTAAGAAGCATTGTCTATCTTAAAGCTGCAAAATCTCTCCAAAAACTTTCGAAGTCATTAGCGTCTTTTTAAAAAAACAACCAAACTAACTAACAAACAAATGTGGCAAACAATGGTGGCAGGGAGAATGTTCTGTATGGCAATGGAGTATATGCTAACAGATCTTAGTATATGATTTCTCTCCATTTCTTCCCCAAAATCTCTTATTGATCATTGTTAGAGACAGGAGACCAGACTAGACCTACATGGGTTGCGGCTCAATATAACTGTTGTCTTGTGGCAACGAGAAAACCAAGTTTGAAGTGAGGACAAGCTTCCATAGTGCTGTTCTAAGAGCCAGTAGGGGCCATGGAGCTGAGAAATGCACCAAGCAACCACCTGTGCTAACACATGGTAAGCACAAACCTCAAGTTCATGATTTTTTTGTTTAGACCTTAATCCTTTTCTGTCCTCAGTACAGACATGAGGCCCAGAAGAGTATATGTGAAGGACAAATAAATTCAAAACTTAAGTTTTCAAGTGGACATGATAATTCAATCATTGTCAGAGGGGATAAATACCCTGAGATTAGCTCAGGTGGTTAGAGCATAGTGTTAATAATGCCAAGGTTGCAGATTCAAACCCAAAACAGCCTATTTGCTTAAGAGTTGGACTTGATCATCCTTGTGGATCCAACTTCCAACACAGATTATTCTGAAATTCTGTGATTCAAATAACATAAAGTAAAATAAATAATAAACTGGGAGGGAAGAGTGAAAAGAAGCCCTAAGAGAAGTGGAGGCTATTTAGCCGCTTTGTAGCTTCCCAGGAAACAGAGAAAACAAGCAAATAATATAAATAATAACATTACAAGTCAAAAAAAAAAAAAGCTATATATTTTAAAAGAATTTAAAGGCATGTTTATAAAAAATCTTGTTGATACAGGAAAAAGTAAATTTTGGTGCACAAAAGGAAACTCCCTAACACAGACACTCTTTAATTGCTCTGTTTTAGTTTATTGCTATTGCTGTTGGCACAGCTTTACTCTTTATGCAATTTAATTCAAGAATTCAGATACTGTTTCATTTTACTTTTCTTAATCTTAGTTGTATTAAACTGCAGACTTAATTCCCCATCAGTTTATTATCTTGAAGACTTAGAAGTATTATGGTTGCCCTTTCATGATAAAGTTTATTGATATTCACATTTAAAACTGGATTTCACCATTTTATTCTTTATGTGTAACACTATTATGTCCATCTTATTCAAAACTAATGCCCAAGAAAAGCTATAGGCTTGGTCACATCATTTTTATCATGTTCTTTATGTCTGCAGTTTCTTTCAGATGGGCAAAGGAATGAAATGTAATAGATGATCCTTGACACTCCAATTTCTGCTCAACAGGTTGCTGCCTGGTGTCTTCTACTGCTTCAGCTATTATAAATTCAACCTGTAAACAATCCTCTCCTCTTTCAAAGCAAGTCCACAATAGGATGCATGAAGTTTAAAATAAAGATAGAGCCTTAGGTGAATAATTCATATGCATTCCACAACCCCATATTACTGACTAAGATCTACATCATTCAAAGTAGAGAGTCCTGTGAAAAACCGGTTTGGAATGCCCATTGGCATTCCTAAAAGAGATACAAAAACCTGAGAGCACAGGAAGTATACAATGCTATTATTTTTAAATATTGGTGTTTTCAGCAATAGTAGAATGGGGGAAACACTTACTTTATTTGATTTCTGCAGTTATTTTCCTTTAAATAGTTTTTGGGCTCAGCTTTCACAGTGCAGAACACAGACATCTTTCCAAGTTCTTAAATTCAGGGAAAGAATAAAGTAAAATTTTATTAATACATTATCCCATCACTTCTCAGAATAAAGAAAGCTACATTAATTTGTTAAAAGAGATATAGATGAAACAGCAAGCCACTATTGAATTTAAACATGAAATTCCACATCTTTCTCATAGTTCTAGCTTATCTGAGTAAGATTTTATTATGTCATCTCAACATACAGAAAAACTCATGCAAATTTTAAACAAAATCAGGTGTTTAGAAATGCACTGAATATGATAATGAACTCGAAGGAATACATTCCACAGGAAAAAAAAAATCTAAAGATACAGGAAGTACCAGCCTTTCAAAGTCAGAGGTGATATGGAAAGAAGTTCTATACTTAATATAAATCAATTATAGTTTGCATGTTTTAAATTAACATAAGCTACTGCTAATGACTACTTGCAGCAACACCTAACTATCAACATAAAAACATATACATTGATTTCTGGAGCCATGGGAAAAACTCCATGATGAAGCTAAAATGTTTGTTCTTTCCGCCCTGAAACACCAGAAAAACACTGAATATAGATACACCCACTACAAATACAATCATAAAAATATTAAAAATTTGAACTTTTTCTAAAGTGCATGAATTTTCATAAGCTCAGATATATGCAAAACTTTGAATCCTTAAAAGAATATAAATATTAATTTAAACATCTGTCCTAAAAGTACTTCCTCTCTCTTGAAGTTTTCTGTTACTTCACTGATTCATATGCCACTGATTTTACACTGGCCTTTTCAAGATGCATAAATACCTGGTCAGTTACAGATTTATATTCGTATTCTCAAGGATTTAATTTGATTTAAAGCACACCCTCTGTCAAAGCACACAGATTTAATCTGAGGAATTCTGTTTGTTCTCAAGGAACAGAACCTGTAACATTCCAAGTTAACTGTCACTTTTGAAAAATATCATTAGCTTGTTGTCTTTTCATTTGCCACTAGATCACCTTGTTCCTGCCTTTTGTAGCAAAAATAATCCTTCAATATTCCGTCTTGTGCTGAAAGGTACTTGAAAACTTGAGTAGTTAAGATAACTTTTCCAAGAAAAAAATTGGCCAATTTAAATACCCACTGTGTTGCAGTGCATTTTCCAGATGTAGCTCTCTTCCCCGTTGCTCTGGCGTTTTATTACACACGCTTCAAATAGAAGCACTGGAACGGGTGCACGGCTGTTTCGGTGTGATTCTAAAACAAAGACGACTTAATTCAAACAAGAGCAGAGCAAAGCCGGGCTCGGCGGGGCTCGCCCCACAGCGGGCCGGGCTCCCGCCCGAGCAGCTGTCCGGCACGGCGCCGCTGCCGAGCTCGGAGCACACCGCCCTGCATGTGCAGCGCGCTCCGGGCGGCCAGCGCCCTCCCGCCCCCTCCCCACACGGCGCCGGCACAGTAACAACTTGTGCTCTTATGACAACGGATTTGGGAAAATCACCCTGGATTAATTCCCTTTCTCCCGACAGGCTGCGCTTTGCAGAGTCGCAAGAATCGATCAGGTTGAAAAAGATCTCTGAAGCTGATCTCGTCCAACCTGCGAGCCAGCACCAGCGTGGTCAAGCAGATCACGGCACTGAGTGCCATATCCAGTCCTTCCTTTAACACCTCCAGGGTCGTGACTCCACCATCTCCCTGGGCAGCCCATTCCAGTGCCTAATCATCCCTTCTGCGAATAAATTACTTCTAATTCCCAGCTTTTCGATCTCTACCCTGCACCACCCCCACCAGCTCACGAGCAAACACGGAGGGCGCCGGGCTCGGGGCGGAACGGGGAAATGGCTGTCTGAACAAACACACGTGCAACGCGCACGCAGGGCAGGCAGCGCAGCCGGGGCAGGCAGCGCAGCCGGGGCAGGCAGCGCAGCCGGGGCGGCAGTTCCGCGCCGGCAGCCCAATAGGGCTCCGAGGCAGGCAGGGAGACCGCGCCCGGCCCCGCACCACCGCGCCGCGTCCCGCGCTGCGCCGGCCTCGGCCGGGCCGGCCCCGCCGCGCCGACCCCGCCTCAGCCCCCGCCCGCCCGCCCAGCGCCTCCCCCGGGGCCGCCCCGCCCCGCCGCGCGCTCACCTTGCTCCGCGTCCGAGCACACCCGCGCGCCCGCCCGTCCGCCCGCCGCGCCTGCGCGTCCGCGCCGCCGCGCGCCCCGCCTTCACGCGCAGGCACCGCCCGCGGTCGCCCGGGCAACGGGACGCGGAGCCGGGCGGCGGCGGCGGCCGCGGGCGCCTCACGCCATGTCCCACATCTTGTGCGAGTGGCTCAACCGGGACGTGAAGCTCTCCCGGCGCATCGGTGAGTGGAGCCCCGCTGCGCGGGGACGGGCAGGGCCTGCCCGCGGGGCAGCGGGGTCAGCGGGGTCACGGCCGGCCGTAGTGCCAGGGGTCTCCCCGCGGCCAACTCCCTGGCGGGCCCGCTCCCTTCCTGCCACCACGTGCCTCCGCGGGTACATTTTTAGTCTTCGTGTGAAAGGCAGGGACTACAGAATCCTAGATCTGTGAGAGCTGGAGAAGACCTTCAGGACCACCCAGTCCAACCATGCAACCAGCAGTGCCCCTGTAACCCTTGAACCACAAAACCACATCACTCAGCGCCAGATCCAGACACCTCCTGACCACCTCCAGGGATGGTGACTCCTTCATCTCCCTGGACAATATATTCCTATGCCTGAAAATTTTCTGGCTGAAGTTAATTCTTCTCAAGGGGCAGGTGTTCTCAAAAGATAGAAAATGCTCAGACTTAAAGTGCTAATAAAGACTCTATAGAATAAGAACTAGTTTAATATTTTTGGAAAGTAGTGATTTGTTTTGAATGTCAGCTGTTGTGCTGGCATTGGAAAAGCATTTGCACTGCAAGGAAGGAACAAAACCCTCAGGAAAATCTGAGAGATGGGCAATCACCAGCAGTATGATGGTGCCAAATTCTGCTTCAGGGATGGGGCAACCCTTGTGGTGTGTATAGACTGGGGAAGGTGATGCTGGAAAGCACTGCCGTGGGAAGGGCCCTGGGGCACCTGGTCAATGGTGAGTTGAACACGAGCCAGCAGTGCCCTGGCAGCCAGGAGAGACAACCCTGCCCTGGGAGCATCAGGCACAGCATCAGCAGCCAGGAAGAGAGGGGATTGTCCTGCTCTGCTCTGCACTGGGGCAGCCTCACCTCGAGTGCTGGGGGCAGTTTTGGGTGCCACAGTGTAAGAAAGACAAGAAAGTATAAGAGAGTGTCCAAAGGAGGGCAACAAGGATGGTGAAGGGTCTGGAGAAGAAGCTGTGTGAGGAGTGGCTGAGGTCATCTGGTCTGTTCAACCTGGAGGTAGCTGAAGGGAATTACAACTCTCCTCATGAGGGGAAGAGGAGGAGCAGACACTGACCTCTGCTCTGTGGTGACAGTGACAGGAACCAAGGGAGTGACCTGAAGTTATGTCAGGGGAGGTTTGTTGAATATTAGGAAAAGGGTCTTCCCCAGTGGGTGGTTGAGCACTGGAACAGGCTCCTCAGGGCAGTGGTCACAACTACAAGCCTGACAGAGCTCAAGAAGCATTTGGAAAATGCTCTCAGGCACAGGATGTTTAACTCTTGGGGTTTGCTATGAAGGACTCAATTCTGATGGGTCCTTTCCAACTCAGCATATTCTGTGATTCTGTGATTGTATGAAGAGAAGCACTTTAGAGCTAGCCTTTTTTTTCATCTGCGTTTTCTATGGAAAATCTAGTAATTATAGTTTATAGATATTTTCACAATCTCAGTGGCAATTATGGTGATGGTTGCATTTTAACACAGAAAATTAGAAATTACCATGTATAGCTGATGTTGCAAAATGACTACACAGAAAGTATATTTATTTGTGATTTGAAAACTATTACTGTTAGATCAGTCTCCTAAAATTTTTTTGAATTATTTATAAACTTTGGATTTAGTTTTGTTATAAAAACAATAACAAGTTTAAAATTAACTTGTTATTGTTTTTATTTTTGTTTTGTTTTTAATCAATTAATTAAATAAATGTTAAATTAAAATTAACATCTGGATTCTTTTAATTATTTTATCTAAAAAACTCCAAACAATGACAAAACCCCCAAACTTAGTTCCAGGATCATTTCCAGAAGATTTTTCTACTGGCTACCTCCTAGGAGAACTTCTACACAAATATGGTCTTCAGGATGACTTTAAACAATTTTCACAGAACAGGTTAGTACATATGGATAACATTTGGTCTCCTGTATAAAGTGACAAGTCTCTTACATAGAGCAGACAAAATATGTATTTCCTCAGCTGGGATTTGCTAATGCACTGTAGAATTTATTGAGATTTAAAATATTTTTTAGTAATTCAAAAGCTAAATATGTTTGAGGCATGAATTGATTTCATATTTCCAGAGAGATTGACCATAATTTTTCACGAAAATTATGCATTTTAATTGTAACTACAATGACCAGTAACCAGGTTAGACCAGACGCTCAAAAAGCCTTTCAAGGATGTCTCTGTGATTAGGAGTAGTGGAACTCTGCCCATGATCTGTGTAGAATTAGGACTATTGTTCATGTTGCGGTGGTGACCATAACATCTGCACTAAAATGAAAATGCTGGAGAAACATTATGAGGCTTTGAGTGGAGCTCTGGCAGAAGATCATATAAAAATTTATAAGTTTAGAAGTAATCTGCTGTAATATTTATAATTAGGAACAACTCTAAAATGGGATGTTAAAAAATCTTGTGCAGATCTGTGAGCTTTTTTTTTTAGATTGATGATGCAATTCATGAGCTTGGCTTATGCTGTGTTTTGTCAGACTATGGTGCGCATGTTCATCAAGAGTTCTACAAAATTCTCCTGTTTCTTCTGAACCTTTGCTTTTACGTTCTTTGAACTTCTAGTGTATTCACACCCTTTCCTATGCCAAGTCTGACCAAATTGTAGGACAGCAGGTTGAGCCCAGCTAATAAAGGCAGCCAACAAAAAGCAGTTTCACACAGCAGTTCTTGAACTCTGTTTCTGGACTTCTAGATCTCTTAGAAAATCCCAGGTAATTCTCATAGTGCCTGCTGTTGTTGGGAAAAGTAGCTTCAGGAGGCTTTTCTTTCTTCTAGCAAGCTCTCACATCTTCTCACATGTTTTCTCAATTCTTCCCAGTAAAAGGGTGCTTTGAGCTCTTGTCCCCAGGTGATTAGAGAGGTGCATTTAGTGAACATACACTTCAGTAGGTGCAAGAAGTGACTGGAAACTCTGCTGAGACAGTTTATGTGTGCTCAGCAAAGATGGAGATGCATGACAGGGCATGATATTCAGTACCCACTGGAACAACTATTCAGTGTCAGAGGCCTCAACTCGAATTTCTCTCCAATGAAAGGAGTCAGTTATCCCTTTCTCAGACTGGTGGGATTGCCTTCATCAGGGGGAGGTGGTGGCTTTGCCTGCAGAGACGTGTGCTCATGGAGGAGCTGTGTTATCCACTCAAGTTGGAGCTGTGTTATCCACTCAAGTTGCTGAAGAATGAGGTCAGTACACTCTCTTGTCTGAGGTGCTGCAGATACAGGAGCCTGAACGTGCAGTTGTGCTGACGGAGAGACATACAGAATTGTGTTAGGAAAAGGAGGTGACTGGCAGCTGGTGACTTCTGTGAGGAAAAAGAAAGTGTCTGCTCCTCCTGCTGAACTACAGCTGTGAACAGGTTCATTGCAGTGGTAGCATATGAGTGCTGGTGGCACTGTGTGACAAAGCATTTGACCAGGTAAAGTGTAAACCATGCGAGAGCACTAGGAGGAACAGGTGGGGATAGCAGTGGGAGACTTTCTCCTGCAGGAGATAGATGGAAGTGCTGTCGGCTGATGTCACATGCTAGCCGGGGAGGTTTGCTGCATGCTGGAATTTCAGTCCAGAGCTGCAGAGACTTGTCCAGCCCTTGCACTAATATCCCTGCTGTTCTTCTCTGTGGACACCAAGGATACCACCAGAGACCTGGAGACAAAAGCTTGAGGGCCCAAGTATTTATTTACTTTCCTCACTTCTGCTGTTGGATGGGCTTGATGAGTAGTGGATAAGTTCTACAGGTCAACAAGTGGTTGTGCAGCTGCTGTCCTCCACAGGGATTTGCTTTTCCTAGTCATAGGATCCTCTTCTGAGAGGGAAAACTGCTAGGAAGAGATGGGATCCACCTGACCAAGTTGGACAAGGAAATCATTGTCAACAACCTGGCAAATCTGGTGAGGATAGCTCTAAACTAGGAATGAGTATTGGTGGAGAGGTTTAGTTTTAGATAAGAGAGGAAGTGATGGCCTAGACTGGCAAGCAAGAGGAAGGTGATGTGATTAAGAGCAGCAAAACAGTGTAGAAGGCTGCTCAGCCTAATGTATGCATGCAATTAAGGACATGCTGAGATGACAGGATTATGGGAGAAGCATTCACACCCTTTCTAAATTACTCTAATTTTTTTTTTAAATCACACATCTATAAAGTGCCTGTATAGTAAAGCATGCAGCATGGGGGTCAAACAAAAGAAATCAGAGGCCTGTGAGCAGATGCTGGGTAATCATTGCAGTCGCAGTGGGGTGGTGGGATAGCTCCCAGGACTGGTGTGCTGCCATGGCTTGATATAGGCACTTAAGGATGAACAGGCTGTTAAGGTGGGGGAGAAGAGGAGCGGCCTTCTGTATGAGAGAGCAGGAAGATCCAGGACCTCCCTCTGCAGTGGCCATTCTTAGTTGTCTTCCTGCATCAAAAAGATGGCACAGTGTGGCTGCATTCATCAGCCTCTCTCTCAGATTGTCAAATGAGCATCTGCCATGCTGAGGCTGAGATGCTTAATGCCTTCTCTATCTTAGTCTACTAAATAAGATTCACACTCAGAAACCCCAAGTCCTTGAAACTAACAGGAAGGTCTGCACCCGTTGTTTACCCTGTGTGATCTGGAAGACCTCCAATGATGGAGACTATACTACCTCTCCAGGCAATTCTTTTCAATATGAAATTTGTATGTATTTTATATATTATTGCCCTCATGGAAAAAAGGTCTTGTCATATGTCTAGGTAGAAGAGCAACAAGATGGGCTTTTAAAGTTATGTCCACAGCAAAAGGAAGGCTGGGGAAAATATAGGGCTCCTGGGACATGCAAAAGACTAAGGTATCCCAAGGCCCTAAGACATACAGGAAAGTCTGTAGGAAGAAGGATTTAACCATGGAGAAGGAAAAGTTTAAGGAATATTTAAGTAAATTGGAAATGTGTAAGTCCATGGGACCTAATGGCACATACTTACCCAGGCTATGTAACCTGGCCAATGTCATTGCTGGGCCACTCTCAATAGTCTTTGAAAGTTTGTGATGGTGGGGGGAGTCCCTAGGACCAGGAGACTGCACCTGCTGCTCTTGTCTTCAAGGAGTGCAAGGAGGGAGAAGTAGAGATGTACAAACAAGTCAGTCTCACAGAATGAAAAGTTAAGAGCTTCTCAGTGCATGTCAGATGATTTCTGGCAAGAGGGCTCATCTTAACCTTGAATCAAAGGCAGAAAAAGTGCTCAATACTTGTAAGCTTCAGTGTCAGTGTCAGTGTATAAGAAATAAAGCTGGGATTGTTACAGTGAGGATAATGAGCTCCTGGAGAGTTTAATCTAGAAATAAGATGAATACTGTGTTACCAGAAAGGCTTCAGTTAAAATGAGCTATTTCTGTAGAATTATGCTGGATCTTGGCTGACCTCAAAAGCTGTTTGCTCCATGTGAAGTAACTATTGTGAACTCAAGCAATAGAGCAGTATAGAAAGCATGATCTTCTGACTCAGACTGAAGTTATGGATATATCTGATGAAATTTGATATGCTGATTGTTATAAACTGACAATTTCTTGTTATTTGGGTTTGCCCTGTATATCTGTGGATCTTGAGTGCTTTTCCACAAGAACTTACATATCAAAAGAAATAATAGCCTGCCAGCCACTATCTTAGTTTCAAATGTAAATTTCTCATTTAGAATGTAGAATTTGTTTTCAACACTGCTTTAACCTGTGTGTCTATTTCTTTTTCTTGAAGAAAAAATATGTTGTAAAGGCTATTAGGTAATACAGACCCCTTTTTTTTTTGTTCCTATGGTTTAATTGGTGAGAATTTGAGTGATTGATACAGATAATGTAGAAACATTGTTTGAATTCCTTGTCTGTTTTGCAGATGGTATACCATTAGCTGCAATTGCAGATTAGCTTTTGCTATTAGATACATTTTGTGTGCACACATATCAGAATTTACTTTGTCTTTTCAAAAAGTTAAGCATAGTAATCAATGCAGTTACCTGTACAGCAGTATAAAACTTAAGCCAAAGAATGTATCACATTATTTAAGAAAATCCTCTGTGGGTTGTTTTTTTCTACTCCTGTCTTGGTATGAGATAAGTGTCATGACCATGCTTAATGCAGCAAGTTGGAATTGAAAATAAATTTAAGTCTTAGGTTTTTTTTTTTGTTGTTGTTGTTTTTAATAATACAGAGGTGCAGATGCAAAAATTAACAATTTTTCTCGCCTGGAACCCACACTTCACCTCCTTGGTGTGCAGTTTAATGAGAATATGGCCAAAGACATCATGACAAGACAGCATGGGGCTGCAACAATGCTTTTATATGAATTGTATATTGCTTTAGAAAAAAAGAGGAAAGCAAAGCTCACTGGAGTAGCTGTGGAAGCAATGAGACCTGCAGCAACTGCAAAACTTGCATCTACTGAAAGGGGAAATGAAGAGGTAACTAAGTCTATTTTGTATAAATATAAAAAAGGTAGCATATTTACACATACCTTTCAAACATGTTATGTGCATTCTCTCTTTACTTTGTAAATCTCCTGTTCAAAGCCCAGTACTTAAAAGGAAAAGAAGCAATTCTTTGCTATGTCTTGTACAGTGGGTTTGCACAGGAACTCAATAGGATATTGATCTTCTGTGTTTCTTTGTTTTGGTTCATTCTGTGTTACCTGCTCTGTTTTCAAGCTTTCTCCAGACTTAAAATACTATAACAACAAAAGCTAGTAGTTGTTCAGCAGCTGCCTCTTTACTCGTTTGATCAGTACAGATTGCAGACTGCATTGTGGTCTAGGTATCAACTCAGACTAATTTCCCCTCCAGGAAACCTATTTTTAACTATGTTCAGCTCTGTGCCACTGTGGTTTGATTGATTCTGTTGCATGTCTCTCCATACATTTATACTGCACTCCATTCTGCAACTACTGTATGCTGAGAAACACAAAGAGAGAAAAATAAAAGGAAAAGAAATGTCTAAAAGGAAGTTAGTGTTGATGTGGTAGGTTCTGTTAAATACTTCCTTCTTGTTGTCAGTAGTAATATTCAGTATTTCCAGACCATTATTTGTTATCAGGATGATGAATTTTTAATAAGGTATATATAATGAATTAAATTCAGCTGGGAGAAATGTAACTTTTTTTTTCTGGCACTATTTCTGAAAAATAGTCTTCAAGCAGAAGTTTATCAACAAGTGCTAAGATAGTACCGAAAAGTCAACATATCACTTCACCTGCAGAGGGATTACTTAAAGGGATTGAGCAACTGAGAGCAGGTCTTATTCAAGACAAGTTCAGAATGGCATTTGAATCATAGAATAGGAAGGTTGAGAACTAGAGAGAGGAACATAGGTTGGAAAGAGCCTCTGGAACTCAGTTTATCCCCCCTGCTCCAAGCAAAGCCAGCTATGGCAGGCTCCTCAAGACCTTGTTCAGTGTGGTTTTGAGTATCTACAAAGCTGGAGACTTTCAGTAAAGAAACGCTTCCTTTCCTCCCCTGGTGCTGTATGGGACAAATCCTGTGACTGAAGTGCAACTGTGGATGGCTGCAGGCTGTTCAGAAAGGACAGGAGAGGAACAAGAGGCTGCGGGTTTGCCCTCTATATCAAGAGGTGGATTGGATGTGAAGAGTTGTCTCTGAGGGATAGACATGAGCAGGTTGAAAGCCTGTGGATAAGAATCAGAGACCAAAGCAAAACATGGAACCCTGTGGCTGGTGTTTACTACAGTATTCCTGACTAAGGCAAGCCTATTTGACCAAATCCTGGTCCAGCTTCAGGAGGCATAGTGCTCACAGGCTCTTGTTCTGCTGTGGGTCTTCAAACTCCCCAACATCTGCTGGGAAATTAGTGCAAGGACCTGTAGGCAATCCAGGAAACTCTTGGAATAGAGGACAACTTCTTGAGCAAGGTAGTAGACAGCCCTACCAGAGGGGATGTGATATTGGATCTAATGGTCACCAATACAAACAAGATAATTGGAGACATCAAGACTGGAGGCAGCCTGGGCTGCAGTGACAATGTTGGTGCATGGGTTGATGGTGTTTTAGTCCTGAGGTATCAGATTAGGAGTAAAGGTAGATCCCTTTTCCCTCCAGAAAAGCAGACTTCCAGCTCTTTAGGGAGATAGATCATCTGAGAGGCTGCCTTCAGGGACAAGGGAGGAGAAGAGAGGTGGAAGATCTTTAAGGAATTCTTGTGGACTATCCATCCCTAGAAGTGTTTAAGGCCAGCTTGGATGGGACTTTAAATAACCTGGTCTAGTTGAAGCTGTCCTTGCCCAGAGCAGGACGCTTGAAACTAGGTGATCTTAAAAGTCCCTGCCAACCCAAACCATTTTGTGATTCTTTTCCACATGTCATCTCACTGGATACCAGAGCATCCCTCTGTGCATCTCCTCCAGAGGAAGCTGTGCAGAGCAATGAGGTGTCCTTTTCTGTCAACAAAGTTTGGCATCATTCAAGTTCAAATCTCTTAGTTCTTTTCTATGGAGCTGGTCTTGATTTTCAGTTTGAACATGTTTGTGTGTTTTTCTGTGTACATTAACACAGAAAAACACAGTTGGAAGCAATAGTCTCTAAATTGTAATATTTTAATGTTTATTGCTGTTTCTGACTCTTCTCTGCTGGATGTTTAACATTTGAAAACTGTAGTGCCACATGAGAATGAAACAAAATCAAAATTGCTAACAGATAAGAGAGCTCATGTGGATGTTGCAGAGTAGCTGAGAGCTCAGAAGAGCAAAGAGCCCAAGAAATAATGACTACTTATTTTTATAGACTTCTGAAGAAGTATTTTCTGAAGGTTATGTTCTTAATGAATTAATTAAAACCAGTGTGAAGGCTTCCTGATTCTGTGCTATGTGCTCTTGTGAAGGCTTCCTGATTCTGTGCTATGTGCTCTTGTTTATAGAAGGACAAAGAAAGGTGGTGTGCATGGAAATAAAGCCAATGTACTCTTTCAAGACCTTAAGAACATTCCTATTTAAAAATCACTTCATCTTAAGTTGAGAGTGTTTGCATATTTTCAAGCATGGCAAATATTTATAGATTTGAAGAAAAAGGGTACATATCACAACTTGTATGCATTTGAGATGTCCTTGTACAAGAGTTTAGTGTGATTCTTCTTTTATGAAGAAAAGATGGAGCATTGTACAAAAGCAAGAAAATGACAGAATGGCATCTATAGGAGGTATGGCCTCAGAACATTTTGTGCTTTGTGTAGCTATTCTGATGAAGAAAAAAAGAAAGAAGACATTACTTTAGACATGGGGAACACTCACCCAATGCAGAGTTTATAGTTTATATAGAGGAAATGGCCAGGCATCAGAGTATTGAATTATACTAGCGATTGTTGACTAATTTGATATATATTTTATGTGGCTAATGAAGGGTGAGAGTCTTGCTGTGATTATTTAGCTATTCTACTGCCCCTACATAACAAGAAGGAAAAAAGGCCCCTTCATGTATCTAGACAGGAAAATGCAAGCAATAAACAAAATATTCAAAACAACATTACAAAATAAAATTTTGGAATAGCTCTTTTGATGCAGTATGTATTTCCAACTATATTTGACTTCTTTGTATAAAAACTATTTTTTCTTCTTTATTCCACATTTACCTGCCTGCATGTCTGGTGCACTTTAAATGAGTGTGATTTATATATTTGTTACTTCTTGATCATCTGTGCTAGTGTTACCTAATGGTATTCTCAATTTGTGTACGAGGAAACTAGTATTCTCATTTTCTGTGCTTTATTCAGACCTGAAACAGGTACCTTACTAGAACTAGAATTCAATAAAGCCCTTAAAAGTCTATAAAGCATTGCTCATCTGTTCAAGTCTGGAGTCAGATAATCACTTCTAGTTTCTTCCTGGAAGATAATTTTTGGTTTAATTGTATTTGGCTCATATCAGAATCACATAGGAAGGAGACAAAATGAAATAATGGCCAGGATTCAAACAGCTGTTATACAGATTCAAAAACAACCATCAAGACCTACTATAAAATCATTTGAAGCCAAAAGATTCTTAAAGAAGAAAAGAGAAGCAGAGGTAATTATCATCTATATTGTTTTAATGCTAATTACATTAACTCAAACCTACCTCACTGTTTCTGGGAAAATTTATGATTGTAAATACTGCACTTGCACCAGCTGCTGATTGTCAAAATGATGTCAGTTTTACCAGTGAAATTTGGGCTGAATATTTACACAATTATGATTTTGCAGGTTTTTTTTAAATAAGAATTGTTTTGATGTAAGAGAAATTTCATATTGCATAAATATCATAGGTAAGTAGTAATTTGATTGTTGAGAGTAGCTATGAGTCTACTAGAAATAATACATTAAATAAAAACATTAGTGTTCTGTTTTGATTTGTGCATTATAACATTTTGAACCATAATGTTTGAACTGGTTTATAACACACTATGAAACTGTCTGCTTATTAAATGCTAGTAACAGCTGAAATTGACAATAACTTTAAATCAGAGAGATGCAACAATTAAAAAAAAAAAAATCTGCATTATGTAGTACCAAAAAACTCATGGATTGTAATTCAAATTCATGGATTACATTGTCATTAGGCGTGCAACTATTACTGCTTTTTACAACTGGGCTACAGTAACAGGAGTCTTTAAATCTAGAGTTTAGTAACCTGTAGTAAGACAGTTACTTGAATAACTATTAGGGATACATTCAAGCTACTAAATCAAAAGCAGATCATATTCCAGAGTATCTTGTTTCAAATCCCCATATGGTGAGAATTACTTGCTCTGCTAGAGCCCTATGAAAAAACAGATTTATCCTGTAGAAAGAACAGCTGCAAAATTCTAGAGTTTTCTAGCTGGTGGAAGTACTTGTAGCTGGAAAAGGGGAAGAGGGGAAGGAATTGAAATGTGAAAGATGGAAATAATTTTGCTTTTATTCTTGGTGTAGCTGATGCTTGAAATATTTTCAGTGTGAGCATTTCTCTTGTACTAACATGACATAAAAGTAATTCCCTAGTATTTTTTCTATTGAACCTTCTTTATGTTGCTTTGTGAAGAGAAAGGAAACATAAAATTGTGTGTTTCTTCTTCAGAACGTATACAAGGAGATAGAAAAGTTTGAGAAGTCTATGACTGGAAATGTCTCTGCAGTACATGACCATGTGACTGACAGGTAATATTTGGATGCTAAATTGTTAAGAATAGGCTGCATCCTATCCTAGGTGTCTGCTATGTAGACAGCTACTTGAAGAAAGAATAATGTTTCATTTAAACTGTGATTATCCTCTGAACAAATGCCGTACTAGCACTGATTTTGGGCCCAACACAATTGCAGTGTCTTTAAGTTACCTTTAGTTGTTGTAGGGACAGCTTAGACTTCCTTCACTACTTTTTGCCACGTGTGCACCAAGGAAAGGCTCAAAATGCATATTTTCTATGTACATTTTAGTCATTGGGTCTGTAAGGTCAGTTACCCTTGCAGCAAGATAGGAATTGTTGTGAATGTGCATACACAGTAACACATTTCAAAGGGAAAAGGAGTAACTTTTATCCTGAAACTTATCTGTATGTTGATGTATTTGTGAATAATTGCAAGTAATTTTTATTCTGTCACCTTTGGTTATATCCATGCCCTGCTCAGAAGATATGACACTGTTGTATACTGCTGTGGATATTTCTGTGTGTAAACCTGTGATTGATACTTACAAAACTACTCAGAGTGTAGGGCAATATTGAGGAGTAACCCCACTTTCTTTGGCATTATGTGAGCTGTCCTAATTTCCTATTTCTGTGGAATTTGGCTTTGTATTGACAAAGAAACTAATGATTAGTTGGCCTAAGTCAGTGTTGGACCTAGTGGACATTGTCAAGAGGTAGCCGCAGATTCCACAGAGTGATGTTCTACATTTGTTGTACTTGCACATACCTATACTGACATCAGTGTGAAAAGACCCTTAAGAATGGTAATTCCAATCTTCTTTTTTTTTCAATCAGTGATGTGCAAGAATTATTGCAAACACAGAAGTCTCAAGCAACAGGTCTAAAAACTATACCAGAGAAGAGAACTGAGCTGTTAAATATTTATTCAGATGATGAATATATAAGGAAAATTCAAAAACGTGTACAGGAAGATACATTTGCTAGAGAGCAACGAGCAAAGAGACGACGAAAAATGCTAGTGGATCAGTTAGCAGCACACGAGGCTCAAGAGGTGGGAAATTGTATGGTGAAGTACATAGTCTATGTGCATTTAATAGTAATCTAAAATGAGCTTACAAATATGAAACAAGTACTTTTGGAAGGCTGAATAAAATCTGAAGGGGATAAAGGGACTTATACACACTTATGTCTGAATATCTTTTTTATGTTAACCCTTAAAAAATACAGAAGGTTGGCTGTTCTTAGTCACCACTCTTATGTCATACACCATACTTGTAAACTTAAAAGGATAAAATTAAGGCAGCAGAACAAAGATTACTAAAAATTTGCAACTGACCTGTCTATTCCCTGCCTCCCATCCCCAAAAGCTGAACATCCTACAGTATCAAAATGTATAATGGTTCTAAAGAAGATTATTATTTAAGAACAACAAAACATGGCATTCCTTGTTTGAAAACTTGTAGTTACATAACTTGTAGTGTCATATGAAGGTTTTCATCTGGACTGATGAATTCTGAAATGGCTGTGCTGAGAATCAAAATTTTATTTGCAGGTCAGAGATTTGGTGTTTGATGTGTTATGAAATACAAGATATGTCTCTGGAGAATATCGGTATTGTGTCTAAAAATGAATTTTGCTGATTATTACATTTGTCCCATAAAGCACAAGGCTTTTAAGATTTTTCTTCATACATTAAAAAGCAAAGGATTCTTCTTTGTTCTCCTTTAAAAAGAAGCTTTTTAGATTACTAATTTCACAGATTGTCTCTTTTGTAATGATTCTATCAATACACAGCCTTGTAACTTACTGGGGTTTTTTGATTTCTGGTTATTTTTTATTTTAGTATTTCCATGTGAGTCCTTAGTTTAGATCATATGTGTTGATCATATGTGTTTAGATCATATAGTTTAGATCATATATAGCTGAGCCTATCTCTACTGCTAATACTAATAATACTAGTAACAATAATATAATAGTAGCATTTCAGATGTGTAGTGCCTCTGAAAATATATATTTTTAAGCCTTGGCACCTAATGTCTGAAGATTTTTTGGAAATGTTAAGAAAAAGGTTTTTGGGGTAAATATCTGGAAGTTAGATGCTGCTCAATGTCTATCAGACCTATATTCTCGAAAAATACCTGTAGTGACTTAGAAAAGTCCATCTCTAGATATATCCTGTCTCCAAGTTCTTATTCAAAGAGATTTATTTCATGTTCTTGTTGATACACATAGGCCATGATGAAAGTTTTGCAACCCACTTGCCTGAAATCACTGCAGTCCCAAAAACTTGCTCTTTAAGCGCTCTCAGCTCTTGCAACCCCAGCAGTGTGGATCACTGATTCTAAAAGCCATGGCTACCAGAGCACTTGGTAGATACAGCAGCTCAGACTGGCTCCAGAGAGGCTCTAAATCAAGTGAAAACTAGCAGTAGTGTTCCTAGCTTCCCAAGAAGAAAAATCAGCTTTGCTATACGTACAATTGAAATCACAGACTGCAGGGATGAGAAGGAATGGCAAATTAGCGTTTGACTGAAGCAGTAATCTGACCATATCAGAGAATATATTTAGTGGTAATTCGGTTCTAAATTAACAGAGGAAAAACTGTTTTGTTGGAACTTCATGAGATTTCAGACATTAGATGTTACTTGACTTAAGAGAAGGGGGAAGCAAACTGAGGTATTTTCTTTAAAAAATGAATGGAAATAGAAAATAGTTCAAGATTGCTTTTTCCATTTATTAAATATTGAACCAGAAAGGGTTTGTTGACTGAAATTGCAGCTGTTTATATGCATTCAGGTCTGAGTTTTACGTCCACTGTATAAGTCTTGAACCTGGCATGGGATCATTTAGAATTGAAGGAATTTCATCCCTTCAGACTGCTGTAATGTGTTTCATATCCATATTTATAAAAGTTTATTAAAATAATCCTGTTCAATTTTTTTTTGGTACACTGCAAGGTGGAGCCTGAGAGAAAATACTTTACAATTACATGACAGTACTCTAGGTGGAGTACAGCATGATGCCAATCAGATTTTCATAGGCCGGTGTTGAACATACTTGACAATTGTATGGCTTCATCCCAACTTTATCTCCACAATTTCACCAAATTATTGGTGATTTGTACTTGTTATTTTTATAGCTCTGTTCAGATTTTATATCTCTGTTTTAAAAAGTTATCAGACATCACTTACTATCAGCAGTGAATTGAGAATGTGAAAATGGGAAGAGAAACAAATTGTTACTAGCTTATTACTTGTCAATCAAATATATTTGTGTGTGCCAAGCTCCAAGTTTAGGTCATAAAATGGTCATTTATGACTGAAAAACAGCACAGAAATGTATCACTTGTATGTAAATCAAACAAGGAAATAGAAAAATAGAAGAACATGATATAGTAACTATGTATGAGCAACCCAAAATGTAACCACATTAATGTTTGGCCACTGGATGCCACTGTTGTCTTAAGCAGGTAAACTGACAAAAGCATCTATTGTGCTTCCTTAATAATAATTTTCCGAAGTATTACTAAGTTGTCCCATTTGTGATATTTATGATTTCTTCAAGCACTTCACAGTTCTCTGTGAAGATGTTTAAACAAAATGTTATGACAAAAACTTTTTCTACAATTGTTATTTTGTGTCCTTGTATGTTCTGAAGTTTCAAAACTTGCCAGCCTTTGAGTACTTGCCAGACTTGAGTACTTTCTGCATTGCATTTCTTTTTGTGTGAAAGATAGCTACTAATGTTGCACTTCTCCATCCAATGAAGATCCTTTTTGAAACGATGAGTTTCGAGTTTGGTGTTTGGAATCCTTACTTACCTGTTGTGTAGTTTTGAGTGAATTGCCTGTTTTTCCTCAAGAATTTCCTAGTGGCTCTCTTTAGGCCTAGTGAGTGCGCCAAAGTATTTGATCACTTAAAATATTGAAATTCTCTACCCTTTAAAAAAGAGAAAATCTCTTTTGGCTCCTGTGAAGTGTTCTAAATGAGCATCTTCCAATTTTCTTTATGAAGAGGAAGTTCACCTAGAGAAGGTATTTTAATTTCTCACTGGACCAACTGTTTGCACGATTCAATTGATGTTTTGCATATGACAAATGACAACTCTGTTAGGGCGGCTCCTTCAATTCCCTGCAAATAAAGATTTTAACATCAATTTTCAACTGGTGAAGGTTTATTACTGCTGTAATAATTTGTGGTTGAGGTTAAGCAGCAACTAATGAAAAAAAATAAGGATATTTACTTGCAGTAGGAAGTGAATTGTGTAACCTTTGCTCTTCTTTGAAATCTCACTTGAAATACTAAGTACCATGAAACAGTGGATAGAACTGAGGCAGGAAAGGGAATTTAAAAATATGAAAAGAGATATTTGCTTGCTTGTTTGTTTGATTTCTCCCCAAAATCAACATAAAATATCTAGATTATTTAGAAAGTTCTTCTCTTATTATTTCAACTGCAACAGTCATGCTTTGCATTAGAATGCTGTTACAGGTGTCCTGGCTCCATTGTAGGACAGATGTAGACCTTTTCACTGAATTTTTCATAAATAATGTCATGTGCAATCAAGTTGGATTTTTCATTTATCAATGAAGTTACATAAGGTGTTTTACCTTCTCTGTCAGAGACAGCTGATGAAAAAATAAACCAGATTGAAAGAAAATAGAAGTGATACTTTATTTTGGTGTGGTTCAGGTTTTCTTTTTTTTTTTTTTTTTAATTACTACTAATTGACTTTACTTGTGCCTCTGTTTCTAGGAGAATGAATTTGAGATCTTCAAATTAGATCCCAATTTAAGTTCTTAAATTTGAATAAATTTCACAGCAGTTTTGATGCATCAGAAGCAAATATCTAGCAAATCAGAGATTTCCCCTAGAATTCTGCTGTAGCATTGGTATTTGGCAATGATGTTTTTAAGGCAAGCTGATGTTTTTGTTCAGGACTCAAAAGGAGTTTTGGACTGTGATAGTAAGGCAAAACTTGAGGTTAGATTAAGCATTAGTTTAGATACCAGGAAAAGTCTGGAGAAGTGTAGCAGTGAGAAGACACTATTATATTTCAAGAATACTTTGAAAAATAACAACTCACAGCCTTCAAAATGTCTGTGCATATAGACCACATCTCAAGTAATTGTTCAGAATGATTTTCCTTTAGTACTGGATAGCATATTATATTCATGTCCCTGTAAGGACACTAGAACTATTACCCAGAAGTCTTGTATTTTGCTAGGTTTTGAATTCTTCCTCATAGTCCCAGTCTGCTGAATAGGGAAGAATGGAGAATATAATTACCCAATTCCCCTAAAAGAAGAAAAAAAATTTCAAATCTGTAGAAAATAGATTGCTCAAGGATGCTGAAGATTATGGCTAAAAATGGTGACTATTGAATAACAGGGTTAAATTAATGATTTGAGGAAAGAGTATATGTTCAGATAAGAAGCTGTTATTTTAAATATGCTGCAGTTTCTTTGCACATGGGAAATAACCACATTAAATGGAGTTAGTCTGACCAGATGTATTTTTACTGGGTATCTCAGTTAAGGCATATTTTGAATTCTTACATAGTTCGTACAAATTGTACTAATAAATAGATATGAATGTTGTTCTGAATTTATGTCCCATATAAGTAGGTGAATTCCATCATATGACAGCATTCCTATTTCTCATATTAGACACTGATGAGTTTTCTAGGAAATAGTTTATCAATTGTGTTTAGTACTATTATTTTTTTTATCTTTCAGAAGACTTACCGGGAGGAGCAGCTCATTTACAGACTAATGAAACAATCTCAGCATGAGCGAAGGATTGCTGCTCAACTCATGCATGTTCGGCATGAAAAAGAGGTGCTAAGGCAGAACAGAATTTTCAGGGAAAAGCAATATGAAGACAGACGACAGAAGGAGTTCCAGGAAGCTCTTGACAGAGAAGCGGTAAAAGATTGATCTTTGAATTGCTGCAGGAGTGCTAGAATACCTTCCTGTTACAAAATCTGTATTGTCAACTGTTAGACTTCAGGACTTTTCTAGGGACGTGATGATTTAGTAGTAAATATATTCTTTTGTCTTTGTTCAAAGTCACAGCTATAAGCAATGAGGATGTAACTGTAAGTGTGGGACTGAGTATATTTTGTACTGTGTTAAAAGTTTGGGGGAATTTTCCAGGGAGAAAGATCTACCTGATCCAGTGAAAGGTGGGCCTGCCCACAGCAGCAGGTTTGAACTTTAGGTGGCCTCCAAAGGTCCCTTCAAACCCAAACCATTCTTGATGGTTCAAGTTCCATGATCCTGTAATAAGGTATAAAGCTGAGTAACTGAAAGTCTGATTTTTCTTCCATACTGATTTTAACTTTGTAGGAAGGCACAGTTTCACAGAGGCAAGAGGACAATAACCTAAGGTCCTGTTACAGGAATCATGTTCTTAATTTCATTTAGATATGATCTGGTTTTGAAAAATGCTGGAGTAGTTTCACTCATGAGTGCTAATTTCTGCTTTGAAGCTTTAAGTTGATTAAAAAGATTTATAATTGTGTGGAAAATTGCCAAGTGCTATGCTCATAGTAGGTCATAATGTAATATTAGATTTCTTTTTTCTCCTGTCAAAAATTATCAGCAACTCCAAATCTTCCAACACAGCTGGAATCCTGTGTAATCAGCAGCTATAGCTATTGATTACTTCACCTCTTTAAGTATGCTTTCAGCCACCACCACAGGAGGTGGTGATGGAGCACACCACTATAGGAACTACTGACAATTTTCTACCATGACCAGAAATCTTTCAAAGATTGAACAACATCAATAATATGAAATTATTTGAAGATCAGAATCTAGTAAGATAAATTACATGTTCTAAACAGGTTGTTACACTGAAAGCTGCAATTTCACTGCCCTCAGGGACTGAATATGTCTTAATCTGTTTGTCATAAAAGAAGTAATGGGTTTTTCCTTTATTCTAGTTTAGAAAGCAAACAAATGGGAATTTATAAAGTGAATAAAAATGTTTAGATTTGTTTTTGTGTTAGTCTTCCTGCTGGCTATGCAACTCTGGTGAGAATCGAGCTGTTTCTGTTTCTCTAAGTTAATTTTAATTTTCAAGACTGTGTACCTCTGCACTTTCATTTTCTCTGCAGACTTAATTTTTTTCCTTAAAAACAATTCTAGGCTCTTGCAAAACAAGAAACTATTGATAATGAAGAACAAATAACCAGAGAAAGAGAATACCATGAGAAAATTTCTGCTGAAAGAGCTCAGGCACGCTATAAAAAGCATTATTCTATATGTTGGGAAATGGTAGGCCAAATCATTGATATGTCAACAAAAGTAGGTGAATATCGTCAACTGACAAACAAGTGAGTATGCAGCAGCGAGGCAAAAATAATAGCTGTTAGGCTGCATTAATCAGACTGGTTTAAGCATTAGAGCAAATTATATAGTTTCTCAGATATTTTACATGGCAGCTGCAATGGCAACATGTTAGAATGGTGACATTATTTTCATGTGAGAATTCACTGGTGTGTAATACAGAGTGAACTAATGCATAATTTCTTGAAAACTCAACTAACTTGAATTCTTAGGAGACCAAAATCCACAGTTTGTGGAACTGCTGATTTCCTTTCTTATTAAAAAATTCCTTAGTTAAAAGTCAAAACTGAATGGTGCTCATCTCATCCTAGTTTGCTTCACTAGGTGAACACTTCCTCAGAATAATACAAACAGGATGAATTTCCCAAGATTCATAAACTTCCTGGAGTTTATATAAACATCAATTGAGCCCAGATACTTCTGAGTCCTCCAAGCTGCGATTCCCTCTTCTGATATGCCCTAGTTGCACAGGGTTTCTGAGAAGGTCCTACAAAGGCAGTGATCTCCAAGCAGTGCAGATCACTGCACACAAGCCTGTGCTGTAAAAGTGTTTCAAGTATCATGGAGTGGGGTGTTTTGGCTGTGGTTCTTTCATTAATGTTCAGTGATTTGATTGTGGGCTTAGACTTACAGTATTAGAAAGTATGCCAAAATCTTACTGCTTTTTAGTGTAATAGTATGTTAAAATAATAAAAGTGTAACCGTATGAAATACACATTATTATATTTTCTGTAAATTATATAAATTTAGGCTTATTTAGTATGTGGTACAATAGTCAGCCTAGCCACACAGTTCAGTGAAATGACTAAAAAAAGAAAGGGTTTGAATCATATAATTCTGAATTAATTTTGACTTTGAGAAAAAGATATTCTATGGATGTTTTTGGCAAGAGGAGACTTTACACCACAAAAGGAAAGAATATTTTGGGGCAGGGAAACGTAGCAATAGCAAAACTATTACTTCACAGCTCCTCTAGCCAAATGTTGTGTGAGGACACAATGGTGAAAACACTGAAGCCTACAAGTGCCTACAGCTGTCATAAAAGCAAACAAACACTTACAAGAGGTTATAATAATTACTGGACGCATTATAAACTATAACTGATTTAGCATATGCTTGTTTCATGATTGGAATTCTTGTAAATTTGGATACAGTATTGTCAAATATCCAACCATCTAATTTTTGGTTTAAAACTTTTTTTTCTTTTTCCTTTTTTCATTTTTATGCAGCCATATTCCACCAAAGCTCATGATGGATTGGAAGGAACTTTTTTTAAATGGAAAACCAATATATGAACAAGCCTCAATTCAACCTTTGCCAGATGAACCTAGCCCAGAACAATTTGTAGAGCTGAATAAACTGAGTCTGTTAGATGAAAAAGATTATGGTGAATACAAGGTACACCAAACTGATAAGGCATAATGGAAGATAATACACCTTGCTTTGTAATAATCATAAACTTTATGTTATGATCTTGCATTTTTTTCTATTACTGGTTTCTATTGTTAAATTTAGAGAAACATTTTCTTTTCATTTCCTGATGTTTTTATATGAAAACTATATTTGATGTTAATTGCAGTTGTAATTCTGTTTCTATATATAACCTTGATTATATTTCTTGAGTCGTAGGACCAGCATGTTAATTGCAATGCAGTGAATTTTCAGCTAATTGGAATTTAAACGTATAATTAATATTACCAGATTGGAAAATGAAACAGAAAGTAACCAGTAAAACCAGTAAAATTAAATACTAGACATGTTACAAAACCTGAACTTTTAATTTCATCAATTTTGAGTGAAAGCTCTCTTCACAAGATTTATTGGCTTGAGTGAACTATTTGTTTTAATACAGTAACGTTTTTTGGAAATTATTAAAAATAGCTGGCATTTTTCTTAATCTTTTGTTAGAAAACAAGTAAATATTTTTCAGCATATATTAACTTCGTCAACTTTTCAATACACCAATGTTATTTTAAAATTGAAAAATTAAGGTTTGTTAGTTCCTTATTAAAATGTATTGTACAGTTTTTTCAAAATTATATTCATTATTATATTCAATAAATACCACTACATATTTAGGCTTTTCAAATAGCCTGGTGAGTAGAATGTGACAAAATCATGGCAAATATCCAGTTTTGTTCCTGTTGGGGATTTATAGCTACAATATATGTTTGATTTTTATCCACATCCTGAGCAACTTGGTACATTTTTGTTTTGCAGTGACTATAGATGTTCATTATGAGTTTCTGTGGTGAATGTCTGAAAGCTCAATTTACTGTAGCTTTATTTTTAACATATGCTTTTGTGATTTATCTATTTATAAGGTCCTTATTCACAGCAGGCTAACTCATGTATGAATTTTGTGATTATTTTCTTAGGTGAAAAAAGAGCTATACACAAAGTCAGCAAGGAGGACATAAAAGACAGGCAGGAAACAGAGAGTACTAAAGAAAAATTAATTTTTACAGTCATATTTTTGTTTACATTATGAAATCTCAGTAATCTCCTCCAAGTGTAACATCACTGAATGTCACAAAAATTTATTGACACATTTAAAGACCTTTTTTTTCCTGCCAGTCTATTTCAAATTATTTAATAATTAATTTTTTCCCAGATATTGTTAGTCTTATGCCTTTCTGAATCATTATTAAAATTTTTTTGAATCATTATTCAAAAACTGGCTTCATATGACATGTGAAATTGTTGGCACCAGTTCATACTTATGTCTTCTAAAAACCTAAGTGAACAGCTAATTCTTTTAAAGTCTTACTTATAGATAAAAATTTGTTGGCAGATAATTCTCACAACATTTGTGCAGATTTTCATAATGTTTGTGAAATGGAATGTTTGTCCTGCCAGGACAGGCAGTTTGGCATCTCTCAAGAATACCTTGCCTACATTAGGCACACTAGCTAAAAGTGTCAAATATATTTGATAAAATACCAGGAAGTGCAGTGCCGTCAGTCCATTGCATGTTACATATTACATTTTATTGTGAGAGTATTTTTCAAAACTGCCATGTTATAAACTGTGGCTAATGACTTAGTAAATTAACACAATAACCAAACACAGCATTAGGTACTGCTCAAATAATTTCTGGTTTCATTCAAAAGTATTGATCAGGAGTTACATATCTCCCACCTGGATGCCTGAAAAGTTGTTTCTGACAGGTAAACTATTTTACCTTATGACAAGTACAGTCTAGCAATTTTCTGGTTAAAAGGGCAAGATAACTGAAAAGTGGGGGAACCCATTTCACTTGGAATTATTTTTTTCTAGAGATCTAATAGAATTTAAATCAACTGATTCATCTCTGCCTATAGGTTTAAAGAAAATTTATGCAGATAGTGCAAATATTTGGGTTTTTTTTAAGGATGTCTTTTCAATTACACATGAAGAAGTATGTTTTCTGAGAGGTGATAGAGAGGGAATATGGTGCAACCCCAAAATATTTACCTTATTTGTTTTTACTGATTAAAAATAAGTGAGTTCTACTTCTAATTAATGATAATGAAATTGGTTTTTTCTGCCTAGCAGATGTGTTCAAAGTCAGCACTGGTCATGTTCTACTAGTAGAATGTATGCTATGGCAATAAGTGGTTCAGATAATAAATTCTGGAAAATGCTGCATATTCTACCCAGAACTTTAGCATTGCCCACTTCTGTTTATGGTGATAAAATATTTCATTTATAGAATGACACAATTGTTTGGATTAAAGGTTTGTGAAGGTTATTTGCTTAAAGCAGGGCCAACTTCTGAGTCAGGTAAGGTTGCTTAGCATCGTTTGTTCAATTTTCAATTATTCCAAGGGCAGAGATTTCACATACTCTCTGTGCAATCTTTTCTCATGCTTTACTAGTCTCACTGTGAACCAGTTTTTTTCTTCCTTTTTCCCTGCTTGGAATGTTCTTGGCTGAAACCTCTGACTTTGCCTTCAAAGCTTTGTTGTGCACCCAAAATTAAGTGACAAACTAGAATCTAGTAGGAAATATTATTAGTCTACACATTTCCAAACAGCTGTTTAATATCCTCCAACCAAATGAATGTTAATACAGGACTAGTATTATTCTGTGTACAGAAATCTTTTACTGTCTCACAGCATAATCTCCAGGACAGCAGGACTTTCCTAGTGCTATAAGATATGAAACTGATAGAGTAAAAGTACAGTTCTGTGTTCCATTCTTTGGACTACATTCTTGCATTCTTCCAGTGTGGTTTTCAGTAAAATTATGTTTACTAGTAAAATTTAGTAAATCATACAACTCCTAAATTTATGTTTATCTAAGAGTAGATGAACTGGAAGTTTCTACTTGTTATTTTGAGTATTTGAATTTGTTTGAGTTGTTGGCTTTGGTTTGATTTTTTTTCTCTCTATTGAATGTGTATTAGGCAAATACATATATTTGAAATCTCTATTCATGAAATTTTCAGAGATTTAAAAGTGATACTGGGCAATAATGTTGCCCAATTTTAGAATGCAGAATATTAGGATAGTGGATTTCTAATACAAAAATCAAATCTGCTATTGATTATTCTATATTAGTGAAATTTTTTCATGTTTATGGAATTTAAAATGTGATATAGGAATCTGTATTAAAGCAAAGTTCTGGTAATGGGGGGCTGCAGCAGTGGCTTCTCTGAGAATCTGCTGGAAGCTTCCCCCATGTCCGACTGAGTCAATGGATGGGCCCATCACTGGCCCAGGCTGAGCCAACCAGGGATAGCAGTGACACCTCTGTGATACATTATTTAAGAAGAAAATAAAGGTTTTGTGCAGATGTCCAAGAGAAGAGAGGAGTGAGAAGGAATGAGAGGAACAACTCTGCAGACACTGAGGTCAGTGGTGAAAGATGAGGAGCAAGTGCTCCATGCTTAGTTGTTGAGATTCTGCTGCAACCCACGGAAGCTCATGGTGATGCAGAGATCCATCTGCAGCCCTGGAGGACCCCACACTGGAGCAGGTGGATGTGCCTGCAGGTGGTGGTGGAGCAGGTTCCTGGCAGGACCTGTGGCCCATAGAGAGAGGAGCCCACGCTGAAACAAGTGTGCTGGCAGGACTTGTGACCATATGGGGGACCCAGCCTGTTCCTGGAAGGCTGTACCCCATGGAGGGGACCAAGCTGAAGCTGTTTGTGAACTGTAGTCCATGAGAAGGACTCAGGCTGGATATATTGGTGGAGGACTGGCTCCTGTGGGAAGGACCACATGCTGGAGAAGATGAAGATTCCTCTCTGAGGAGAAAGAAGCAGCAGGACCAACATGGTGAATTGAACATAACCTCCATTCCCTGTTCTCCTGCTCTGCTGGGCAGGAGGAGCTACAAAATTTGGAATAAAGTTTAGCCTGGGAAGGAGGGAGGGCTAGGGGGTGGTGTTTATAGGATTTCTTTTAGTGCTCACTATCCTGCTCTGATTTTGATTCATAAGAAATTCAGTTTCCCCAGGTCAAGTCTATTTTGCCCATAATGGTAACTGGTGAGTGATCTCTTAGTGTCCCTAAATCATGAACCTTTTGTTGTATTTTCTCTATGGCATCCATCCAGAGGCAGAATCCAAAATCATAAACATGAAAATGTTTATATAAGTACTTGCCTCTCAACTAGTTATTAGCGAATATCAATAAATACTTACTGATTATGACATTATTACAGGTTTTAATGAGGTTCTGTTCTAAAAGCTATGTTATTATTGAGTACTATTCAAATCTTATTATTTTATGTATTTTTAATGTAAATAGGTACATATATTTAGAAATATGGAAGGCAAGATTATAGTAATATTGAGATTTGTTACTTTATCGTTTATACAGAGTATGACAGGGGAATGGAGACCAACTGAAGAGAACAGTGAAAACAAACCTCCTCTTAATAATAACATATTGGGTCATGTGCTTCGTAGACTGATGGAAATGTTCTATCCTCCAAAACCCAAATCTTCACGTGAATTTCCTTCATTTCCCATCAAGGGATGTGTTTTGGGAAAAATGTTTAGTGGAAAAACTACCTGTGCAAAGTTTGTTGAAAAAGGTAGAGGTTGTTTGTTTGTCTAAAATTCTTTAAAGTATTTATGTTAAAATACCACTCTTATGTTAAAATTGTTTGGGCAAATCCTTGCATTAATAATTCTTGAACCTCAGATGCATCTGTATTTTGCTGGGGTTGGTTGCATATCATTCCTTTGTTATATGCCAAAATAAACTTAGAAACACTGGAACTTGAAAGTAATATTAATATTGTACTGTGATGTTAATACTACTTCATTGAGAATTGGAAAATGCTTTTGTTAAACATCTTTGGAGATACTAGCTTTAGAAGAGACTAGCAAGATAGCTATGTGATTGTTGATAAATACTGTGAAGTAGTTATAGAGAAGAGTGAAAACAACTTACATTAGAAGCTCAAATTAAATAATTAATTTAACTGCTTGTAATAGTTTGTATGTATACTCAATTCACATTGTAGCTATCTAATATTTTTGTGTATTAGTTTGCAATATTCAGGTACTATCTGTTGGTGCTCTGGTTCAGGAGGCCATTGAAGCTTTTCTTAATAACGAAATGAAAAGTGAACCCAGCATAATTTCTCAGGAAGTAGAGAGTTCTGGAGAACAAAATGAGGTAAGTATATTCCCTAGTTTTTGTCTTGGCTCTAACAGGTAGAATGAGATGTGTAAGGAAAAAAAGCATGTTTGAGTTTTTTTACTAAATTTCAAACTTAATGCTAAGTTTTGACAGGTAAGACTGGAAGAATCAGCTTGAATTTACAGACTTGTTTTTTTTTCTGAAGATGTAATTTTCATTCTAATCCATTTCCTGTCATATTTGATACAAGGCCCAGGACAACTTAGTGAATTCACCACCAAATCTTCTAGAGGAACTCCAAACAGAACCCACCACAGGTAAGTATTTCTTGCTGCACAGATCTTCCTGTGTGTCGCAGGGGCTTGGGATACCTCAGTCTTTTGCATGTCTTGGCAGACATTTTCCCCAGCCCTCCTTTTGTGGAGAGGTCTGCAAAAGCCCTTTTCATTGCTCCTCTGCCTAGACATAAGACAAGGCCTTTTCCCCATGAGGACAGCCAAAGACTGAAACAAATTTTCTGGAGAGGTAGTGTAGTCTCCATATTTGTAGGTTTTCCAGATCACATAGGGTAAACATCTGAGAAACATGGTCTGACTTTATAACTGATGCCACTTTGAGCTAAAGGTTCTATTTGAACTAGGTGACATTGAGAAGTTGCTTCCTACCTGAATTTCTCAATGCTTCTATGATTCTAACAGTTTTATATACCTTCTGTATTGATTTGTTCAAAGAATAGTAACAAGCCATGTACTTTCATTCTTTATCTGTAATAATGAATTTGATAGTAATAGCATCATCAATCTTTATTTTAGAACCTATTTTAGACTATTGTCCTGTTGAAAAGGATCCATCCCAGGAAGAATTTGAATTGGATAGCAGTCAGGATGGCCTATCCAAGGTTGGTAGTCCAATTTTAGTTTCTTCTTTATAAAAATATGTTAGTTAAAATAGTTAAGTGAATTAAATGGTGATACATTTTCATCATTCTGAATTACTGAAATCAGTTCAAGCATTTTCTGTATTTTCTGAAATATAAAAAGGGGTTATTGTGAAAATCTGTTTTTCTGTATGTTGCTTAGAGTGGTACATCATGTTAAAATTCTATATTTTCTTGTGAAATCTCATTTTTACATAAGATGTGGTATTTTCTATGACATTTCTGGGTTGCAAAAATGTACTTCTGCTTGCTGCTGCCAAGCAGATTATTCATCCCATGACAAGGTTTCTTTTCTTTATGTTAAAAATGCTTAATTCTGCAGTGATTTCTTTGGCCTACTGCTCATTCAAAATTACTTCCAAAGCTAAGATATAAAAGAATCCTTGTAAAACTAATGAATTTATGTGATGATGTATGAAATTATTGGTGGTAATGGAAATCAGAATAAGCTGAGAACCAGAACACTTAGTTTTATTATCTTGGCATTCATAGCCTTGGTTTCTCTATCTTGGTTTTTCTCAGCATTTTTGTAGTGTAATCATGGATGTCAGCTGGAGATTCCAATTAAACTGGGAATTTTTTACAATTAAAACTATTCTCCTTAAAGGACCTCCAACTATTGAACAGCCACCACCCCAATATAAATAAATAAATAGTATGTGATAGAAAATGTGGAGTCATACACTTTTCAACAACTCTTTTCAATGACTGTTATGGATATTCTGAGCATACGTTGCACTCTTCCACAGCTATCTGTACGTGCCCAACTTGGTGCTGCATCACAGAAATGGCTGAAGAATGGAAAAAGTGTTCCTGATGAATTACTAATAGACATCCTATTGGAAGCCATTGCGTATGAAATTGTATAGATACTTGGTTTTATCTACTCTTGTTTGACAGTAAATTGTCTCAACTACCCTGAAGCGCAGTTAGCACTTAAGTTCCTATATGAATATCATTTAAGTTGTATTACTCCTATTAGTATACTGTAAGTTACAAAATAGATTTTCCTATTCATTACTTCAGCAAAAAAGTTATTTGAAAAATCTTAAATTATACCTCTGATCCGTCTCTGTTGAGTGGTTTTGAAATCTGTATTTAGCAAGACAGCAAAATTTGTTTTGTTTCTGATTTTTTTCACATTAATTAGACTTGATGTTATTTTCTTCTGATTTAAAATCCATTACTTTACAGTCTAATAATATCTGTCATATTCTGTATGCATAAGGAAATTTAATATACTGAATTAAGAATGGATGGTGGCTAGAGCAAGCTGTTCTTTCAGTTTTATTATTAAGCTATCATTTCACTGTGTAATTCTGGTTCTTCATTTCCTTTTAGCCAAATACCACCAGAGAAGGGGTGGATTGTGGAGGGGTTTCCAATGACAATTAATCAGGCAAAGCTATTTGAAAAATCCTATACAGGGATTGATGTAGAAGCAAAAGATCCAATTTCTGAAAAGCTGTCCCTTGCTATAGATCCCAGAGCCCCTAATGAGCCTCCTCCTACCTCACCTGCATTTGATGTTTCTATATTATTGGATATTTCAGACAGTCTGGTACTGAAACGTGCAGCTAACGTGAAGTGTAAGTTTCCAATTCCTATTAACAAAGTAAAATGACAAGCAGTAAGTTGTAGTTATTAATGCAAAATAGCATTACTGGACAATTTGTGTATATCTCACAGTATCACTTTAGTTAATTGTGCCTTGAATACTTCCAGGTTATTTCAGATACTTCTGTTTGTTTCAGTCAAAGGCAGATAAGAAGTGTGCAAGTGCATATTTATATGCTCTTTTGTATTTATATGCTCTTGTACAGTTCACTTTTGTATTTGAACTCTAACTACAGCTGAGATAGCACAGTGGGCAGTGTTAGATATCACATAAAACAGCAGCTGGAAAAAAACTGCAAGTTATAACAGATTCAGAATATACTGCATTACAAATGAGTGTCTGTAAATTGCATTTTTCTTCAGGAGGCACACCTAGAAAGGGAAAAAGGAAATTATAAACAGAGGGATGTGTCAATATTCATTCGCTGAGAGTGCCAGAATAAATTCCCTATTGATTACTGCCTTTGCCTTGTCTTCAGTTACTCAGTGAATGATCAGAAATCTAAGTCAATTCTGGCCAACCGAGGCAAAGGCATTAAAGGCTTTTTGAAAGCTGTTTCACTTCCAGACCACAAATTTAAGACCTTGGTGAAGCAGAAGTTTTTTATTGAGTATGTCATGTATTATTCAAATTATGAGGAGATTCTTCTTTGTTGTTTTCATTGCAGTGCATAGATGGCAAATAGCTTGAGTTAAAGCACCATTTACATTTGGCTTTTATGTATGGGTAGGAGTGAGGATGGGACAAAATCTTTGAAGCTTTTGCTAAAAATATGGTGAGGATAAATGTTCAGACACTTGAAAATTGCTGATTTTAAGATCTTGTGCTGCCAAAACATTTGTAACATGTGGTTATATTTAATATAATCTCAGAAATACAAATAGAATTTCTTTCATATGATGTAAATGATAGAGTCAACAGAATAATTAAAAATCTTAAAAATTAATCTTAAAAATAATTAGAAATTAGAATTCTTTTAAAATAGTGTATTTCTAATGAATTAAAGACTTCTTAAAATTTAAACAAGACTCAGAAAGAGAGAATGCCTTGTCTTTTCATTAACTGGAATGTCCATTCATTGTGAAAAGTAGGCACTTCGGATGAAATTGGGGAAAATATCTTCTAATTGGTAGAGTAGATACACCTGAAACAGTTGCCCACAGGAAAGCTCCATCTCTTCAACTGTGGGGAGATTTTTATGGCTGAAAAGCATCCATTAGGAAATGTTAGTGCTATAATTTGCTATGCACTTTAACAGAGTAAGAGGCAGGACACCCTGTTGGTGTTGGCTGGTACCCAGCTTTTAAGTTACAAAATGTAAGATCAAGGAACACTGAATTTGTTCTTAAAATTATTATCTTAGTTTGGGTGAATAACTGTCTGAATAATTGCCTTTTTCAATATATGCTTATATACTGGTTTTCCACACAGTAGATAAAAGAAAGGCATCTCAGGCTGAACAGAGCAGCAATCAAAATTCAGATGCCCAGTTCCTAGAAGAGAAGATTGACTTGGCCAGGGAGCAGGTGCTACATAGGTAAGTTACATGAAGTACAAAAATAATACTTCAGCTACGTATAGGCATATAACTGATCTGAATCTCATATGTGATCTTGGACAACACTTACATGCTTAAAGTTAAGAATTTACTTAGAGCTTTCTATAATGTGGAGCCTAAAGAATATTTTCATTTTCTGCACAATATAAGTTCTCCTGGAAAATAAGAATTCTTGTGTTTTGATTTTCCAGGGTATTGTTCGATGGAGAATTTAGTTTTTAGGTATATTTTGCATTAACTACATGTATACATTCTATATATATGTGTGTGCACTTATATCTGAGGTCTGTCACATATGTGACTTCCCTTAAATAAATACGCTTGAGTTAGAGATTTTGTAAAATGTTATTTTCCACTTCAACATTTAGAAAGACAACTTAGTTTTCTAATTTAAATTGAATCACTAGATGTTTAACGTTACATAAAGAGGAAAAAAAAAAAAATTCTTCCTTCTGAATATTTGATACTTGTAAGTGTTTCAGACTATTATATTATGTATTACTATTGATTTAATTGTGATATTAGAAAGTAAATATAGGTTGTGACATGAACGAGTAAGAAATAAATTTTTAGTTAACAATAAAATTTTGAAAACTTTCTTATATTTAAAATGATGGCATTGATGTGGGTGGAGTTGTTTTAGTCTTAAATTAGATTATCTGCTTTTTGTTTTAGTTATCAATTTTAGAAAATGTTTTGTTTTCCATTAGTTAAGTTTTAATTTCATACCTTGATACGATTTTTGTAGAATTTCAGGCTTCCTAAAGACATGGCCAAAATTAGAGAAATGGTTTTCAGTCCATCAAAACAATCTAGTGAAAGTAAATGCAGAGACAGAAGAAAGTCTTGTGTGTGAAACAGTGAAGGAAATTATAATAGAAGAAATTGTGAAAAATCAGGATAGAAGTAAGTTTCATAGTCTTACTGTATAGAATTCAGTAACAAAAGACTGTTTTTTTTTAAATTAACACTAATAATTACTTTATAAAATTATATGTCAACCTACATTTTTGCTGCCCCTGAAAAAAACCTGAGGATTTGCCAGTTAGTGATAACTGCACCAGAACCCTGACCTTTTCTGTTGTGCTTTCACATTTTCAGAGTATATGGACCAATTTCACATAAAATTTAAGGCATTAAGTTCTTTCTTCCTGGTTTAAAAATCACAGCCAGCATCTTCATCTAATGGATAGCATAAATATATAAGAAAGTCTCATTTGCTATTATGAACATAGAGTCAGTATCATATATCATATATCAGTAGCAGCATAAAAATGTGGGTCAGTAGAAGTGGTTTTGACAATTAATTTTGGTACATCTTTGTTTCATTTTTCTTCCTTATTACCTAGAAAAAAGAAGTATCATGTAAACCAGTAATAGAGACCTCTAAATAACTAGGTTTTTTCATAACTATTATGACAAAATCTTCATGTGTCTTCTATCACCAAAAGAAAAAAAAAAAACAAACAAACTTGAAAAGCACTAGTGACAGTAAAAGTTTATCCCACTACTCTTGTGCAAGGTTTCTAGTGCATAGGTTTCTTTTATGTTCTGGGTATATAATTAATGGCCCTGCTAGATTCAGCAGCAAAATTCCTATTGTAAATGGAGTGAAGATTTTCTAGTTAGACTCCAGCTGTAATATAAAAGTATTTAAGGGCTATTTACTCCTAAGGAAAAGTAATACCTGGGGTCAATTAATAAAGTTTAATTTCATATCTATGTTCATAGCTTCCAAGCTGTCCTTCACTATTAGGCTCATATAAGCAGAATAGAGTATCAGGTTAGTCAAATATGTTTTCCCCTTAGTGAATCCATGCTGATTACTCCTGATCAGCTTCTTGTCTTCCATGTGGATAGAGATGGTCTCCAGAATGATGGGCTTCATCACCTTTCCACGGATTGAAGTGAAACTGACTGACTGGTGTCACACAGCCCTGTGTCCTCCTTCTTGCTTGATGTGAAGATCAGGGTGACATTTGCTTTCTTCCAGTCCTCAGGCACCTCTCCTTATCTCCATGGCCCTTCAGACCATGATCATGAGCTGGGAGCTCATGTCTGCCAGCTAGCTATTGTGTCTGCCAGCTCCCTCAGCACTTGGGATGCATCCTGTCAGGGCCCTTGGATTTATAGATGTTGAGTTTGTTTTGGTGTTAACTGATACAGTCTTCCTTGAGAATTGCTGATTTCATGAGTATATTTTTGGTGAACAGCATCTGAGTAAAGAAACAGTGAATCTGTTCCATTATTTTGAACCTGAGAGTAGCAGAGATGTCTAATTCTGTTTATTGATACTTCAAATACATTTGGAAGTACTAATTGCACTTTTTTATTAAGGGTCTGCTAAAGAAATTGCACCAGAAGAAAATGTTTCATCAATTACAGATGAAGAAGTTTTACCAGTCATAGATGAAGAAGAAAAGGTTTTATCAGTTACAGATCAGCCTTCTCCCTTTCCTGAGGCACCACCAATGGTTGAACCAGGATCAGATGAATGGATTTATGTAGATGAACCACTTCCCCAGGTACACTAATTCCTGACTGAAAATCTTAAATTTTTCTTCGTGTTTTATGTATGTCCTACCTAAACCTTTTACATCATTGGATATTGGGTTTTTTCAGTATTTTTCAATAAAAGATATGCTATTACTTTGTGATAGATATACAAAGAACAGTTGCTACTAAAATACATAAAGTAAGGAATCATACTTTGAAATGTAATTTTGTTTTTTAATTCTTTGCAATTATCATGAAGAACACAGCTGCCAAAACAGAAATGCTTTTTACTATTATGAAATACTAATATAAACTTAATAGATCACTTTTCTTTTTCTGACAAGGGTGAGTTTGGATCTCATACAGAGAGTAAGAATGAGGAGAGTGTGCACTTGTCTTTCTCCTAGTATGTTTTTTCCTAATATTTTCTCCCCAAGGATATCTACTCAGATTCTAGTGATCTGAAATTTAGGGGTTTTCTGAAATTGCTGTATATCTGCATCTTGTGCTTAGTAGCTCTCAATGGATTTTTCTTCCATAACTATGTGTCTTAGTTGGTTTAATAGCTTTTTTGAAGCCATTTACTTTTTCTTCTCTGTGACATAGCTTGTATAATTATGTTAATTCTGAAAAAATATTTCTCTTTCTTCACTTTAAACTATGATCTTTGCTTGTATGATTTGGTGACCCTGATTCATGGTGACACTAATTCATATATTGAGAGATATAATGAATAATAATTCTATAATAAACCTCTGAGGGCATTTAAGACATGACAAGCATCTCTTAAATGTTCATTTTGCTGAATGTTGCTTTTGTTCTCCAATCCACTTATAATCTGTTCTAGTTCTTCTGTAAATTTTTTGAGAGGAGCAGCTGGGACTGCAATGCAGTTTTTGAGATACAGATTTTTCAAGGGTGGACAATGATAATTTGAAATTTGTTCTGTAATTGTTTTCCTAATGTTTACCAGTTTTTCCTGTTAACTGCAGTCAGCTTTCATATGCTGGGTTTCCTCTGGCCATGGCCTTTATTTACATTTCAAAACAGTCAGTCAGTCAAACATCACTTTTGCAACACTAGGCAGTCAGCTTAGATTTTTATGAGCTCAAACAGCTATGAATTACCAAATTTTCTTACTTCAGTGATCATTCAGTGTCATCAATTATTTTATAAGCATATCCAAAACAGCCAATACTGGAATATTCTGCTGGAATTTCCCATTCCTTTAAAAACCTACTGCTTTTCCCCAAAGAAATTCACAGGATAAAAGTATATGTTGGTACAGTGTTTGTAATCAGCTGTAAACCAAAAGAAATACATAATGAAAAAAAATCAATAATATGATTTCATTAAATAATATTTCTGTGTATTTGATAATGCTACAGATAAATTATTTACCAATAAATAAATCCATTAATTTTTGATGTTTTTAAAAAATTCACAGGAGATAATTGATTTTTTAGTACCTTACTGGGAAATGGTAGAAAATGCATATATGAATACAATCAAAACTGTACTTAGATGTCTAAGGGATGAACAGTACACTATAATCCATTACACATCAGATATTAGGTAAGTAAGAATAGTACCTTATTACATTAATATTAGCATTTTGTATTTTTCATGGACCATTATGTAACCCAAAAGTTGTTTTTACTGCAATTTACAGAAAAAAATTTCAAGATTATTTGAAACGTCCACATCTTAAGCAGGAGTTTGTATCTCAGTGGCAAAGAGATTTTAATTCAATTGCTGATGAGCTGCAAGATGATGAGGAAACAAAAGCTGAACTACACCAAAGGGTTACTGTAAGTAAATGACAGAAATTACAATATACCCTAGACTATTATTTGCTTGTGTACAAGCTTGATATAACATGAATTATTTCCTTCTTTCTTACTCTTTACAGTTCTTCTTAAACTATGTTATTTCCTCTTGTGCATAATTTGTCCTTTAAAATTATTCCTCTGTTGCCCATAATTTTCTTACATCTTGCTGTGGTATTGTGGTACACTGTGAAATAAATATTTCTCTGCTCTCTTTTATTTTTACATTTTGTGGTTTTTAGAGATTTCACAAGTTGAATATTTCTATCACAATCTAAAAAATCTTGGCAGTATTTTATTTTTTCTGTAAATTATATATGTTAATCTATGCTTTCTAAAACAGATTCTTACAAAGTACATAGAATTTTTTGGGGTGTTTTGATTCAGGTAGCTCTTTTCTAGGTCATGTCCTAAGTGTTCTTTTTTCACAAAAATCCATAATTAAATGTCCTCACAAGTTCAGAGCCAGATTTAGTATAAGCCAAAAATAGAGCTATTTTTGAATTCATCAGATTCCATTCCAGAACAGACATGATTTTTAGTTGAGTACTATCAGAAATGCTCCCCCAAAAGGAGAAAAGGAATACTGACAACATATTTAGCTGAAGGGAAGATTTGAGGAATAATGGATTAATTCATCTGCAATGGAAAAAACATTGGACCTCCTTTTCCATAGAAATATTCCAAGAAAATTGAGTACAAGATTGAAAAATCTTACATATTCCTAATTTCTACTGAATGGTATTATAAAAAGTCTAGAATCACTCTGTCCTTTATTTTAGAAAGATAAATATTTGGCCTTTTGCTCATAAGAGAAATCCCTGTTTGACATTATCCAGTTCAAATTATGTGAAGAAGAGGTTATACTTCCATATGATGAAGTGAAACTCAGATACTGTGATAAGCCTAAGCATTTTGGAGTGAATATATGATTTTCAGAATTTTTTTTTTTAAATAACCCATTCACTTCTTGTGACCCCCAAACCTGTAGGTGATTGTGAAGATGATCTTCCTCTATGCTGTTAAAGCATGCTCATTGTATCTCCCTGAATGTATGAATTCTGTCAGCCATCCTTCCTTGCTGTTAGAAAGAAAGAGGAAATGAAGAGGGTGACAATCTTCATGATGTTTTTTCTCAAACTCACAGACTCCTCAACCCTTTCATCTCAGCTGGACCGTTCCTAAAATACTGGAAAATATCAGCTGTAATATCTAAAAAATAAATTTCTCTGATATCAACTGGGAAATGTAAAAAGTCACCCCATTTTGAGATGCATGTAAAATTCCTTAAAGGCCCAAAACCCAGAGAGCAGCCGAGACTTTGGCCTGATTTATGGTTTAAGCCCAGCCTTCACTCAAGCCTCACACAGCCACTGACCGCCCACCAGTGGGATGGGGGAGGGAATTGTAAAATTGAGAAAGCTCGTAGCAACAGGCAAAGCAAAAGCTGTGCACAGAAGCAAAGCAAACAAGGAAGTCATCCATCACTCTCCACGGGCAGGCAGGTGTTTGGCCATCCCCAGGAAAGCTGGGCACAATAACACGTAGTGGTGATTTGGAAAGACAGACACCACCACTCCGAGTGTCCCCTCTGCTTCCTTCTTCTCCCTCTGCTTTATACATTGAGCATGGTGCCATATGGTACCATGGCATGTCCCTTTAGTCATCTGGGGTCAGCTCTTCTAACTGTGTCCTTTCCATCTCCCTGGTACCCACAGCCCCATCGCTGGTGGGTTGGGGAGAGGAGCACAAAAGACCTCGGCTCTGTGCAAGTGCTGCTTAGCAATAAATAAATCATCCCTGTCTTATCAGCATCATTTCCAGCACAAGGCCAAACCATAACCCATACTCACTGCTCTGAATTAACTCTTCCCAGCCAAAACCAGCACACATCCTAAATATCCAAACACAGAATTACTGTGGATAAAATACACTTCAGCAGTACATGTCTATCTGTCTTCCAGCAATTTCTCCAAATTCTCTCTCATTGCATTTCTATTGTTGAATATATGATCAGTTGCTTGCTCTCACTACTTCTCTTGTTCCAAATAGGAGAGACTGAGCAAATGCATCCATTTTCAGTTTTTTCACCACCTTACTACAAGAAAAGGAGAGAGAAGCTGCTTCACTCTGAAAAGAGAGGAAAAAAAGAAGATACTCATAAAACATATTTTTAGCTTCTGCCAGAGGAATATAACTATAACTCACTGTGTTCCTCTGCAGTTATCTCCATTGCTTACAGTAAATCAAAACTATGACTTAAATAATATGAGGACAAAGAGTAAAATCCTTCTTGTTACACGTTTAAGAAAGATACTGGAAAGAGCTGTACATCAGTTTGTGCAAAACATTAGTGTGGTTTTTTGTGCAATATTGCATTTATGTGAAAGTTTTTTGTGACAAAGGGGCTGCAGAAGTGGATTCTGTAAGAAAGCATGGCAGCTGTGAGAGAGAAGTGAGAAAATGTGACAAGCAGCTCTATAGTCACCAGGGACAGTGAAGAAGGAGGAAGAGGACGTGCTCCAGGCACTGGAGCAGAGATTCCCCTGTGGCCTGTGGAGAAGGTCGTGGTGATGCAGGTTGTTCCACGGAAGCCCATGGAGGACTGCAGGGAAGCAGATCTCACCCTGCAGTCCACTCGGTCCACCCAGGCTGTATCAGGTGGACATGCTGTGAAGGAGCAGCAGCCTGTGGAGAGCCCAACCAGAGCAGGTTCCTAGCAGGAACTGTGGCCCATGGAGTATGCACACTGGAGCAGTACAGTTGTAAAGGGCTGCACACACAGCAAGGATCCACACTGGAGTGGTTGTTGAAGAACTGAAGCCTATGGGAAGGACTTGCATTAGAAAAATCCATGGAGTTTTCCATGGGAGGACCCTCACCATGGAGCAGGGAAAGAGTGGCAGATAAAAATGTATAATGAACTCACCCTAATTATTCATTCCCCATTTTTCCTATGCCATTTAAAAGAGAAAAAAGTCAGGACTGAAAAGTCTTCCCAGGCTTAAATAAGCCCAGGAAGAAGAATGGATGAGGGAAAGGTGGTTTTAGGTTTGTTTTATGTCTCATTATTCTACTGTTATTAATTGGCATTAAATTAATTGCCCCAAATCAAGTCTGTTTTGCATATGATGGTGAGTGATCTCCTCATCATTATCTTTATTCATGAACTTTTCCATCATATTTTCTCTTCCTTTTCTATGAGGAAGAGTGATAGAGCAGTTTGGTGGACAGCTGGCAGCCAGCCAAGGGCAATTCACCACTGCCAATAGATATTCACATGCTAAAATATTTTTCATCCAGTACCATGTCTTTATGTGCATAATCTACAATGTGAGCAGCCATGAATATCTGATTACCTTCACCTTGACTACCTTCTAGCCATCATTGTTGTGTTAGGTAGCCCAGGGACTTCCCTGTGGCTTTTGTCCAACAGAGGATAAGTAGCTTTATCTGAAGTCTTCAGACGGGGAGAGATACAGAATCTGACATAACAAGTTGCAGCCAAGACCTGGTGAATATGGAATCACTTCACCAGAAACCTAAGCTCCTCTCCTTTTCTTCTGTCCCAGAACAGGCCATGTCGGGTAGAAATGCCTGGTGCCAGAGACATCTCATCTTGTCTTACCTTGGCACTGTATTTAACAGCACTCTTCTCCTATAAATTCTTCTATTTAATTCCACTCTTATTCTCTTACACATAGTGGCCTGTCACACTATTTTCATGCAGAGATGGCAATAAGGAACAAAGGGGTGCATAATGTTTTATGCTTAGTAGGCCCTCAGTGCTGTCAGTGACCCCATATTGTTATTTGACATAGTCACTAGTTGAAGAGCCCTTAATTAAATGAACATTAGGGAAAACTGGTGTGGAAGTGACTCAAGTTTAAAAAACACTTGAAATCTGACACAGTTTTCTCTGTATTTTTCATATTGCCCATCCCCTGAGAGTACTATTCTTAGTATATTAATTAGCAAACCATTCAAGTGCAGAGTTGTTGGTGCAGTTGGGAGCTTAGCTAGTCATAGTTTTATATTTGTCTAGCTTAGGTAGATTCTTAGCTCTTCATAGTCTTGTATTTGTCTAGCTTAGGTAGATTCTTTGTAGACTCCTTGAAAACAAAGTTAACAATTTCCTTACTATAGCACTGACTATTTCACAAACTTTTCTTGAATTACCACAACACTCACATGAGATAAGAGAGTGGTTCCTCATTTTATTAAACATATAGAAATAGCAGAGAGAATTTTTCTCTGCCTGAGAAAAGCAAGGCTGCCTGCACACTGAACACATATCTTTGTGTTCTTCTCTCTGTCAGTCCTCTATAGGCATGTGACCTGAGCAGGTATTAATATTTATAACAGTGCAGGAAAAGCCCCAAATAGAAAGTTGCCTTATACCCAGGCAAAAAAAAAAAAAAAAAAAAAAAAAAAAAAAAAAAACCAAAAAAAAAAAAAAAAAAAAAAAAAAATCTTTTATAATTAATTTCCATATTTGACTTTGTGTTTTAGGATCTAAGAGATCTTCTCTGGGATATCTGTGACATCAGAAGGGAAGAAGCAGAGCTGGAACGTACTGGTATCATGAATGAAGAGTGGTTACCAGATCGTAGGGGGATTGCAATGAACCATTTCTTTACACTTATGCAGGTATGGACTGCTACAGTAAACCTGAGAGAAAATTCATATGGCTGACTCCAAATAAGTAAAGGATTAAAAATTACTTAGGCAAATATTCATGTGTTTTCTGAATTTATAGACAAAGATAAGAGACAAAGAAGAGATGACATGCCATACATTTAACTTTGGAATACAGGAAAGAGCAAGAAAAATACCATTCTTGTTGTTCAACCCCCAGAATTTTCAATCTCTACTATATACTGCTACTTTTCGCATTTTTTGAGCTCCAATGAATCATCTTGAGTTTTGTGAAAGAAATGTTACAGCTCTTTATCCTTCTGTGATCATATTGACATTGCCTTTTAATTTATGAATTACATCATTCACAGCTCGATGTTATAGTATTTCCCATATCTCAATTTCATTTCACTGATGTAGCTTGAAATTTTATCTGCTAACAAAAAGAAACCCCAAAAAATCAAGTTATGTTTTGAGAATGAGACATAATTTGCTGCTGTTGTTCAAATATTACCCAGCTTTCAGATATGTAACTTCAAAGTTTTCCAGAGTCCATTCAGTCCTGCAGTAAAGTAAGATTTCCCTGTTTACTTATGTTCTATGTGCATAAATTTAGTTTAGAATTGGATTGGAGTGCTCTAGACTAGACTAGGCTAGACAGGCTTTTGTGCAAACTGAAGTGACCATTCTGTGAAAGTTATGGCAGATTTAAATAAGACAATGAAAACAGTGTTTTAAACACATGCCTTGTGATGCTAATTTAGCTGAAAAAGCCAGCCCTCAGCAGTTTAGGTTGGTCTTTCAGCCCTTTAATTCTCTCTGCTATTTTTATATGTTTAATAAAAAGGGGAACCACTCTTATCTCATGTGAGTGTTGTGGTAGTTCAAGAAAATTTTGTGAAATAGTCAGTGCTATAGTAAGGAAATTGTTAACTTTGTTTTCAAGGAGTCTACATAATGCCCTAAATAAAGATTTTGGGCCACTGACCCAAAAGGTCAGTGAGAGGTCAAAATATCGAATAACTGCTGACTATCTGAACCCCTCATTGGTCCTATAACTAGGATATTTATAGTCCTGAATATTTAAAAAAATCCATCTTGAACTATATACATGAAGGAGACAAAGTTATACTACAAAGCTTAAAAATTTTATTATTCTCCTTTTATGTGTAGTTATATGTTTGCAGGCCTACTTCTAACAGAATTTCATGGGCATATATGATGGAGTTCAGAGGAGATTCACTATGAATCTAATTTGATCTGTCTTTTGTGGATATGCATAACTGTTTAAAATTACTATGCTTTTTTTCATCAAGAAGAATTTAATAGAAAACATTTCTTCTTGCTTTACTTAGTACATATTTCCCAAAATAAATGAATCCTTAATCCTAAAACTACAGTACTAAAAATATAACAACTATAACTTTATGTAATAACTATTTTTCTTAGAAGCAGCCAAAAATAGGCTTCTTTGTCATTGAGTTCTCCATTTGTGGGGTTTTCTGTTGGAGGTTACATATATTCCCCAGGTGGCTCTGTATTTGTGTAAACTTAGATTTGTATAGATGCCGTTTATCAGATTTCATTCCTTTCTATGTACAGTTATACTAGAAGATATTTCCTCCTTAACTTATGGATAAGTGCTGGTTTACACCACAAAGGTTTTATCCTTTGTTTTGTGAATGTGGTTTTGTGCATTTTCCCATGAATATTTAGTACTGTTTTGTCAGTTAGAAACTAACACCATAGTGAATCAATAAATCAAAACATGACAGGTGTTAAATGTTTCTTGAATCTTACTTAATTTCTTCTGAGATGATTCACACAAAAAGATCACAATACTTTGGTGTTCAAGATTACTTAGATCCAGAAAAACTGTATGACTTTTATAATTATCTCCATCACATAAACCTTTTTATTTTATGCTTTTAAACCTTTATTTCTTCTGAACAAGAAGATACATGTAATTTGTCAGCACTAGTGTTCTTGCTACTGGGAAATATATATTCATCAAAATATATTGTAATTAAATTTAGTGCATTGAACATTATTTATTGTAAATACCTTTTCCTATTTTAACAATTAAGATTATTATTACTGCCTCGAAATGACAGTGTGAATACATTATAGATTTAAGTAGAAGTATGTATTCAATGTACTATAAATTTTAAAACAAATATGATTTTTTTCTTGCTCTCCCTCAAACTCTTTAAGATTTAGAATTGCTTCTGCTAACATGTGATAACAGAAATTTGTTCCGTGGTATGTTGAATTGCAGTCTCTTTGTCCTTTCCTCTTCAGACTGAACTGGATCGTTTCCAAGATACAAAGCGACTTCTTCATGACTATTACAGGGCAATGGAAGGAAAAATCCCAATAGAAGACGCTCAAGATTTTACTAGAATCCCATTGTTAGATATTATTAATGGAGAGCAGAAGGAAGATCAAGACAAATCAAGAAGGTAGAAATACAGCATAAAATTGAACAAATAGAACACATAAAATGAACAAATAGAATGCACTGATAAGTTTTTGGAGTATATGGAATTATGTGTGTATATTTCAAAGGATGGAGAAATAAGAAATTTTTAACCAGGGATTATAGTCATATTATGAATCTCAAAGAATTTTAAAGATTACATTTATCCATCATTTTTACTTATTTACCTGTATAATATTCACCAATGCATCACTGAATTGCAAAATATTTTAAAAGCTGCATCAGGAGGAAATCTACTATTAAAATAATGTTTCCTGCTTTCCTTTATATTGCTGATAGTTTATAGCACAATTCTCACATATGTAAAGTATTGTTGTGAAACATTAGTTGGTTTAAAATTTGTGTCAATAAATCAAATTAAATGTTACAAATTTTATGTAAATGTAAATATAATTAACTGTTATGTAATAGCAGACGTAAATCAAAGCAGCCTACAGAGAGGCACCAAACTGAATGCCATATTAAAAGATGAGGGATACCACCTGATACTTTCACAATGTAGAAAATGCCACCAGTAATAACACCTGATTTTTTAAACTTAATTAGAGTGAATTTAGAAATTATCTGAGTAATAAAACTGTGTCTAATCCATGTGGAATTCGTCAGCAGGTCACACAGTCACTTGATGTAGTTTTGCCCATCTGTTATTATTTTTAGCTGTTATACTTAAACTGGACATTTTTCTGGCCATACACACACCTCACCAAAAAGGGAAGTTCTAGTTCTTCCCTTTTTTTTTTTTTTTTTTTTNTTTTTGCTATTGCAAATTTGGAAATACCATTTCCATTCTTTCAGTGTATTCTCCAATGTAGATATTAACACTTTTTATAAAGCGGTATCTAAGTTATTCCTTGTATTTTATTTTTGAGGATTCCTCTAGTTTCTTGGAAACCACCTTCACCAACTGATACCGAGTCAGAAAAGAGTGGAACTCAGAAGAGCAGTCTTAAGGCTAAGAGTTCTGAAAGTGAAGTGACCACTTGCAGGAATGATAAAAATCTTATTACTCATACATGGCAAACAGCAGTAACAGCAGTATCAGATATGGTATGGAATGTTTTATTTACTTAAAGATTTCTGGATTTTACAGTCAAAGCCCCCCCATTCAGCAGGCAGCCTAAACACATAATCTTTGCACTGTTTATCTCAGTTTCATATGTCTTGCTCCACCACTAATATTTCTGTTGAGTATGTTTGTAGTTCTATGAAGATGTTGGAATCTGTGTTTTCAGCACCTCCATATTTATAACTGAGCCTTTTATTCCATTACTGAGAAATATTTCAAATGTTACCTCTATGTATCTTCTTCCATGATAAACTCTTCTCTTATCCCTCAATAGAAGTGTGAGAAGATGGATAAGTTTAATTCTTGCTGCAGTGTTTGCTCAAACCTTTCACATGTTCAGACCTATGGTTACGTTCTTTTTTCTGTATAGCTTAAAGTAAATTAGGTAAGCTTTTCAAATTGTTGATTTCTAGGTAAGATTTTTATTTTCTCTTTGATCATGTAAAATAAATAAACTTCTGCCCCCTTATCATGTAGCTGTAGGCTTGCTTTGTGTACTGTTGATTCTTGCTTTTCTATTGTTTTCCTCAAGCACAGGCAGTGACTGCAAGAATTAAATTTCAGTATGCCTCTGTCTTGCATTTTTGCTGCAGAATTTTATTTTTGATAAATAATAAAAATTTAGTTGATTAGTTATCTCCTTTTGTTTTCTTAATATGTCTACTTCTCATCAAGTACTTTCAGCAAGCATAGGCTATTTAAAACAGTAGTTGCACAGAGCTGATATTATGTACTGTACTATGTGTGACTGTGGTGTCAAGGTAACAGCTGAAATAGAGTTTAGAGAAATGGAGGAAGAAAAAGAATGTCAGCTAAAACAGAAACCTTCGAAAGCTGCACAGAAACAACTAGACAAAGCGGCTGGGAATGATAGCAAAGGTTCCAAAAAGACGTCTTCCAAATCACCTCCTAAAAAAAGAGGTATTTAAAATGCAGGCTTTGTTTTAGCAATGCTTGAAATAACTTGAATGTAAATATATGAATAATACAGAAATTAATAACCCAAGACATTTAATTAGGATTTAATTTCTCTTTTAAAATGGGACATCAGTATAAAAAGCTGGTAGTGATAAAGGAGGGGAAAGGCTTTTGAATGGAAATTGCATTTATTTAAATATTTGTAATTGTTATACGTAGAAATAAATATTCTAAAGGGAAATTAAATATTTTTTTTTCATATTCTGTATCAGAATGGAACAGTTAAAGGTAGTTTATGGATAAAATTCTATTAAATTGCGCCTACTTGACAGCTGAAGTCCTAAATAAGAGCAGATTCCTATTGACATAGATCTTGCATAGGTCTGGCAAGAATCAATCCCACCAGGTGAAAATGGAAAATTTATTTCCAGGAGAGAAAAACAGGCAGTGTTCTGGAAGAAATTGTGGCATGCAAGGCTGTTTATGCATTTTCTCGCAATTATTTCCTTGTTCAGATAGTAGTTTATGTAATCTTCACCTTTTGTCTGCAATATGTCATAACTTCATTAGAAAGTGAGGCCTGCAGCCTAAACTTTGGTATCTTTTGTTAAGACATTCTGCATAGCAAGAGAGAGGTTCAAGCCCTGTGGGTGTAGGATAACCTGAAATTTGTGTACTCCAAATGAGAAAGGTATAACTTCAGAATTATTGTGCTTAACACAATTGACTTTTTTTTGTGTGACAGGAGTTTCATTTGTACTATGCTCAGTTCTTTCTCTCTCTAGATATTTCTGCCCATACAGAGTGAACAGAAGCATAGCCTTGCAAATATGTAGCCAATTGTGAGTCCCAGGTAGCCTTAGGCGTAGTTTAGCATCTCAATTTAGCCAAGAGAGCAGCAGATTTTCGGACTTCTTGAAAAGTTTTGTGATAAAACTTAGCAGCTGTTGTATGCTAGTTTGAAGTTTGTGGATTGCTTCTTGGAACCAAATTTTTGTTCAAACCTGGTACAAGATTATCTGAAATTACAAAACCAGAACTGCGGCTAGAAAGCTGTGCATTCGTCCTAACAGAAGACGAACAGATGGATTTGTAACTATAGTATTGACTTTGATTTCATTTCAAATACAGTGTTACTGTAGTGTTCCTGTAGCATGAGAATTCCCTAGGACAGAGATATGTCTGGTAACAGAGTGATACAACTTAGCACATGTAGTTTTATCACTTGTAAAATTGACCATTTGTTTTGTGTTGACCTTGTGCATCATGCAGCTATCATTATATTTTTTCTGTAACATCTCCATCTGCTCTTCTTCCAGGATAAAGTATTTACAAATATTTTAATATTGTTGAGTAATAGTAAGTCACGTGGCTACAGAATTCCACGAAATCTCTAAAAATGTGAAAATACCTATCTGTTCACAGATAAGTCAGAACAAGGTAGAAGTGCAAGTTTGAAGGGGCATGAAATAACAGATCTCCTTTTTTCATGTTTTTTCTTTATAATAGCATAACTCTTTTCACTGCTTTGATGGTAGCTACTATCATAACATTTTTACTATAGTTTGTTAAACTTTAATTTATTCCAGAAGAAACAAGTATTATTCAAAAGACATTTATTAATGTTCTCATTGTGATAAACTGGTAAATACTAGGGTCAAACAGAACATTCTGACCATCTAGGATCAAATGAGAGGCACACTTATTCAGTCATGATCTTCCATCCAGAAATACATTTTAGGATGCTATTTAAGCAACTTTAGTACAGTTGTATATGCTGGGGTATTTATATGCAGTATTAACATAGCATGACTTGCAGATGTAAATCATGTTTGGCACCTGAGTATCCACCTTTGCATTCTCATAAATGGTCACATCAAGTAATGTGGAAAATTTAATTTTTCATGAGACACAAATTTACAAGCAAATCCAAAGACTGAAAGGTCTGTTTTCATGCAGGAGCAAAAGCCAATCCAGTTCCTGTAGACCCAGAAGAATTAAGGAAAGAAGAACTGGCACTAAAAATAAAGCAAGAATATTTTAGTGCCTTGAAACATGAGGGTATGTTACTATTTGGTTACTTATATTGGTAGGTGATTGTTATTCCTAATTTGACAAGTATGGTAGTCAATACTAACCAGAGACAGCAGGCAAAATGGTTGGATAAGAAAGAAAAAGGAGAATCAGTCATGTCTGGAGAAATCAGGGAATATTTTTAGTGTGTTAATCATCAGTCATTCTGTGGTAAATATACTAAAGGTAGTAATATGATTTTCATTCCTTTTATCTTCTGTTTCATTTCATCTAATTTAATTTCATGACTAAGCAAATATTCGTCCTGAGAGAAAAGATTTTGCATAAGCTGTTACTCACACTTCAATATTCAATTGAATTGGATTCAGTATTTGAGATGTTTTATTCTGGGAAAGAATTTTTTGGCATTTGCATATTTCATTGATTTTTTTCTCTGATTTCCTCCTCTTCAAGCAATATGGGATTCAAGTAGCAGGACATAGATTTTGTTTGTCCTTCCAAACTGCTTTATGGACAGACTCTTCCAAAAGCTATATATTGTTTGGTCATTCTGTCTCTTTTTCTCTCTTACCCAATAACTTTCAAACAAAATGGTTCATTTCAGCCAAAAGGACATGTCTGAAGAAAGGAAGTCCCAAATTTAAAATGGTTTGAGATTTTTTTTTAAGATAGGTTTAGACTAGATGAAACACTATTGTATCATTAAAGGGAAGATAGAACCCAGCTTTTATTGATTCTGTTTGGCAACAGTTGGCAAACCCATCGTCATATGGTACCTCTTTGGTGGGCTAGCTAGTACATTGTATTTTATTATGAAAAATAGAGGGCAAACAGCAGTTATCGAACAAACCACAAACTCATAAGGCTTCTTAAGATCCAGTCAGACCAAATGCTTGTACACCTACGTCTTTGAATATGGTTTAATACAAAAGCTGTTCAAGAATAAAAATTCCGAGATCTTGGAGTACTGAAAAGAATAGTAATAACTTTGAAGATCCTAATTGCATGAACTTGAATTTTAGTGATTCATTAACATGTATTTTTTTGTCTTGACATTGCTTTATTTTCATCCTATTTTAAGGAAAAAAACCCAAGACCTAGGGAAGGCTGAACACATTAAGCTGTATTTCCTATTTGCACAGGCACATAGTTGGTATTTGAGAATCAGTTTTCCTGGCAACTTTGTTATCCAGTTACTTGATGATAACTTGTGGGTTTTGTTTATACAGATACATACAGTCTAGCAAAGGCACTAGTTGTGTATTGTTGCTAAGTTTTTAACATTGATTTAAATTTAATTTCTCTGTTGCATCAATGTACTTTTTTTCTGTTGGTGTTAAGAGAGCAGCTTTATCAGTCATCTGTGCAATATCTACCTCTGAAAAGACAGGGAGACAAAAATTGTCATGCACTTACTTCTGTAACATACTGATAGCAGCTGCTCAAAGAACATGCACAGAAGCCACAATTACATCAGCCTTAACTGTACTACAGAAAAATAACTAGCCAAACAGCAAGTATCTTTTAAGGAACTTTTAGCTAAAAACAGTTAAATATGCTGAGTTTTAGGTGCTTAGACCGAGAATATTCCTCACATTTTATAAATATTATTCATTATGACTTTATCATTTAAACAGAGGCAGCCACAAAATCTCGGCTAGAACTTATAAAAGAAAAAGCTTTAGCATTTCTTGAGGATCTAAAATTTAAAGCAGAAGAGGCTTATAGAGATATGGAAAAGTGGCTTGGATCCACCTTCTTGGAGGAGAAATCAAGGTAACATATATCAATTTTAAACAGGATTTTTTTTTTTTTTTTCAACCTAGACTGAGTTACTAAATATAGTTGTGTCTGGAGACAGAAGTAATTTGGGAAAAAATGTAGAAAATAATAATTTTGTGTAGATTTATCTTAGAAACCTGAATGCTAGTAACTCAGTTCTTGGCTGTTCTGCTTGTAAAGGTAATTATCATGCTATGCTATTTTTCTTGACTACATATTTAGCAGATTACTGAGCAGACAATCAGTTATTTCATTTAGTAGAAAGCTCTGTATAATTTCAGCAACTTCTGTCACTTTGGAGTGTGGGCTTATTTTCTTTCCTGTTTTTTACACACAGTGAAAAATTGCACCTGTTGTTCTTATCACCACATATTACATTTCAAAAACTATTGCAAGGACCATAAAAAAACGTTCTACTTCACAGTTTTTCTGTCCTAGTAAATAAAATGTACTTGGTATCACTATAGTACATTAGACTATCTGGCATAGAATGACCAATGTCTGTATCATTAAAGGCCTTTTCCTCTCTAAATGAAAGGAGTGACTTTGTCCTTTACAAAGTATTTCTGTCCTATACTAACTTTTGAATCATACCTGGGACAGTGCTGCTTGATCCATCTCAGGGCATGACCAAGAAGAGAGGCATAAATGGAGGATTTGAAGGCTCTTACAGGCACTAGCTCAAAGAGGCAAAGTCTCTTCCTTCCAGCCAGTTTTATTTGTTGTCCTCACATGTGCTAACAAAGACACAGCATTTAAGGAATATCATATCCTTTGACCTGACACTCCAAGCCGAATCTGTGTTCAACATTATAGACAGCTGATGTCTTTCCCTGTATAAATTGTATTCATTGCACTTGAAAGAGGAGATCATATGCCTCTCCAGTAGGAAGTGCTTCCATATTTTTCCATCAGGTCTCTTCTGTATCTTAGATCTGACTTCATATAAATTTCTAATTACAGTCAAAAGATTTCTTGCAGCCAGAGGAAGAATAGACTACATAATTACTTCGGTAATTACAGAATTCACACAGAGGGTTTGAAATTCTTATTTTATGAAAGCTTTAAAAGCGTAAGAATATTGAAATTTAAAGCTACGTTGTTAACACTGTGTATTATACTCATGAGTTTCTGCATTTATGCTTTCAGTGTTGAAAAACTGATAGAGGTTGCACGACATCATATTGAGAGTTCTAGCAAAATACAATATGAAATGACTTTAGAAGGAACAGATTTCTTCATCAATAGCGATATAAAAATGGTTCCTGACCCTGTTCCTGACCCTGTTCCTCCACCAGAATTTCAACGCATTGAAATCTCTGCAAGCAGTACTCTAACTATTTCACAACTTACTACACTTCATAAGCAGTTTCTATGGCTGGCACCTAAAGGTAAGAAATTTTTACCTTTTAACTCCCGAAGGTTATCTACTTAAAATCTGAAGTAATTAGGTATCTGTATTGGTGAAGAAAACATTGGTTATTTATATTGTTTAAGATTGTACTACAGTTAAAGATCCTGCTACATAAAAAGCAAAGTCATGGTGGGGGATATTGAAAATATGAAATAATAGACCACTTGAAAGCTTTTAATGGCTTTCCTAGGGGCTTTTGTTGTCAAGACCACATGTTTAGTATTGCTTTAACAGTTGTCTCTCTAATAGGTTTTTAGTACAGTCTGTATCAAGTTTGCTTTATTTAAATATGCAAGTTTTAAAATTGATTACTAATTGAGAGCTCAGTGAACTCAGGCTATATTATTTTAAAACAAAATTTTAAAATTATCAGTATTTTCATGGAACTATTTTATAGGGTCTGTTATAAATATTAAGCATTATATTCTTAAAGTCAATGTGTGCCTGTTTTTTGGGTGATTTGCAAGCATTAGCTCAGACATGTAATTTATTTTTACCTTTAAACATGCCTTTATTGTATGTCTACTCCCTAATTAAGGGAACCTAGGGCTTAGGATGCCTAAAAAGACTTGCAATAGTTCCTGAGACTGTATAAATGTTGCAAAGTAATTTGGGTAAGGCAGTTTTCAACTGAGATGGAAAGTAGTTAGTTACACATATATTTGCAGAGTGTTTCATTACCAGTGTTCCTATTAAAATTATAATGCTAGTATTATTGCCACTAAGATTGTGAAATACAATGTGTAAGCAAGTGCTTACAATTCAAGATCTATCTCTTCCAGTGTAATAAGGCCACAAAGGCACAACAAAGTTGAGATTAATTCTTTATTGGAAATTTTTTTCATGTATATTTGTAGTGCAATTCCAATTTCCTTTTGCATATAAAACCACTTTAGGGAAAAAGATATTTACAGTTTTCCCGTAGAGAGATGCAAATCATCTTATCTCTAGTGTAGGAATGTAGATGTGTGTTGTAAGCATTTCAAAATCTTCTGTAGAGACCTATTCTGCAGATAGTAATGCATATATAATGCCACACAAAATGAAAAATCTGTGTGTTTGTAATAATTTATAGTTCCATAGAAGTGAAACACAGATACAAGTTTAATTGGTACTTCCACTTAAACGGGTTTTTTTTGGTTTTGATCATTCATGATTAAGATACTTTAAAAAAAATTGTCTATTATAGACTTTAATATTCTTGACATATTTAGACAGAACAACCATTTTCTTCGAAAATTTGTAATAATTAGCAAGAAAACAATTGAAGTCTTTATCATTCTACAATATTTCCCTTTTGATAGTATTATATTCACTAAAATGACCCAACGTGACTTGCATGACTATCTGAAAAAGGGAATTCTTTCCCTTAGCAGTCATGAGACCATAAAAGAATGCTGCTGCTTGTTCTCTGAGACAATGGGAAAGAATTATTGTTTAAAATAAGGTCTCATACCCCATGTATTTATCTTCTCTTTGGTAACTATTATCTTTTTTGGATAGTTGAATTTGGATGGAAAGCACAAGCTGTGCAAGTCATCTTTAAAATACTTCCTCCCAGTCTCTAATACATTTTAAGACAGCATAAATCACATCCTAGGTTTCCTAAGGTGACCGTTTCATTATAAACTCTTTTCTTTCCTAAAACATCAGGAAAATTTTTCAAAGGCTGCTGTCTTCCCTTTTTCAATAGAATGGTCAACAGAAAATACACATCTCAGTAGTTAGTCTCTCACTGAACAAAAGAGGGAAAAACACTAAAGCACCCAGCACAGCGGCAGTGAAATTGTTGAACAGCATCTCTAAAGGAGATACCAAAAGGTAACAAACAAGCCCCTGTCTTGGACAACCTCCAAATAGGTCTATATTTGCTACCAAGCTTCTTATTTTTTCTTCTTCTTACCCACCCAGTATATCTCTCAGCATTCACAGTTGAAATCCACATAAAAAAGCACATGGGCATAGGCTATTGGGCAACTATAAACAGAATAAATCTACCAATCTGCTAGTACTAGAATAGGAGTAGTAATGAATAATAAATTTCCTGAACTTGTTCTCAAAATTGGAAATTAGGCTTTTCTAAAGCATCATGGAGATTACATGAAGCATATTTTTACTTAGAAATGCAAGCAAAAAACGAGTAACAAAGGAGGGGTGATTATATAAAATTTAACATGTAAGCAGGTTTATCACAAGATATTTGGTAAATGTCAAAAGGAAGTATTTTTTAAATATATTAACAAATTACCAAAATTATATCTAAAAGTGGGAGTGCCAGTATACTTTAAAAATATTTGATATTCATGGAAGAATTCTTATGAAACAGTTTTGTGTTTCCTAGGAATCTAAAGTTTTAAAGAACTGCCAATTCTTCACAGACAACTTTATGCTATTCCTCACACTTTGCTCTCCATGGAAGCAATTATTCTCCATTCTAAGCACCAATGGACAAAAAAACAGCCTGTGCTGGACCTTCCTACTTACTGACAGTCTTTCATTTGAGAAAGAAGTTTATTTTTTGTTTTATTACTATCCCAAGTGCTCTTGCCCAAAGTCAACATGAGTCTGCACTAATTAATTTCACTAACTCTTTGATCAAGTTTTTAGCAGTGCTGTAATATATTACCTTCGGAGTACTTTTTCATAGGAAGAGCTGTGATGAGTCTTAAATGGAGCTAATAACATCCACCATTTTTATTTTCTCTCTTACAGTCTTTGCATGCTTTTCTTATCAACAAAATTCAAATATTGATTAGATCTCATCCCCTTTGATTCCCTTGAGCAATATGATCTTCTACAACCACATCTTTTGTCATTTCAATTAGCACACGTATGGAATGTCTGTTTTCTTCTAAAGCTGTTTCAGAGAATGCAATTTGGGTGTGGTTTTGCATTACCAAGAAGATCAAAGTAGTTTATATCCCAGATTTGTTCTCTATCTTATGACTGAATCAACAAGAGCATTTTAATTTTTTTTTCTTTATCACAGGCATCATCCTTATGAACCTTCAGTTTAATTACATAAATGATTCTAGAATTAGAATAGAATAGACACCAATCAGATGTAAAAAAGTTCTATATCCAATAACCAAAAATGTTTAAAATACTTTTTAACAAAACTATCAAATAGTCTGCTAAGATGTAAACATAAGGAACAATCAGTGGCCATATTGCATTGCTGTTTGTTTTCAAATTGTGAACTTGTGAATTGAATTTTACTGTATTGGTGGATTTGGGGCAGACAGTTACATTAAAGTGTGCATGTGGTTCAGCTGAAATGTTGCCTTTTCAATTGAATATTTTATTGAGTCAGGATTATATGAAGACCCTGGATAATGTCTACAGATTATGCTTTCTTTCCTCAAGCACTGTTGTAGAAACAATTGAAGAATAGTAATTGCCTGATTGCAAGTAGAGATGAAAGTCCATATGAGAGCATAGGAATAGTTTAATAATCTCTAACTTATGTCTTTTGAAGTTGATTTATCTTCAATGTGTTTTTTTATGACCTGACAATATGGACGTTTTAAGTTTGTGGATAGAGGAAGTATCTCTTTCTAGATGAAAACTTAGTAATTCTACCAACAGTTTAATTTACACCTCCTGTTATGTCTCTTACTAAGTAATGTATGTTATTTAATTTCAGAAATTTGTGGAACATATTTAACACGTTTGTGTATGTTTCTGTGCATTTGAATTTATATATGTATAAATCTATGTATATATAGATATATATAATTTTAAGATTTCAGACAGCATGACAGAGGACCTCATCCCTCACTACATCTGTGCAGCAACAAAAATACCTTAATTCTCAGTGCTTCTAAATTTAAAATCCCAATGCTTGCTATTTAATGAAGATTGGACATAAAGCAGCACCAGTAATAATTAGTGAATAAATTATGCAAATATTTACAGTGAAATTGACTGTAAGGAGTGATGAGTCTATCAACAACTTGGATGAAAAGTATCACATTTTTGAGAGTCCCATCTTTCTCATCTAAGGGTAGAAGTATCCTATATTACTACCTTTTAGAGCCCTTAAGTTAAAAGAATATAATTCAGCCCTCAGGGTATATTTCACTCATTCATCCTTATAAAATTGCTACAGAGTCTGGTATGTAATTTGCAAGGGATTATTATCTAAAACTCTAGTCAGGAACTGCTATGGAAACGTTTTTCTCAGGGAAAATAGAAGGGAATATTAATCTGTTCAAATATTTTGGTAAAATTTGATTATGAGGGAATAGATGGTAACATAATTCTCATCTCTAGTACAGGTTTACAATCTCTTAATATTTTGTTGCCTGTGTAAATGTATAAACTGAATGTTTACTAGAGATTTACTACTTCATCAGTTTATGGAAATATTTTTATACTGTGCCTATAGAAAATACTGTACTGACTGGTGTAATTTTAAGAAATAGTCTCTTTTTTATATCTGCCTTAATAACTGAGACATCGTGATTGCTCTTTAAATGTCATAGGTTCAATTTAAAATGTCATAGTCCTGGTTCATAGTGTGTAGTGTAAAGTTATGCTGCTGTCATTCATAATGCTTCTTTTTATTTTTTTTTTTTTTTTTTTTTTTTTTTTTTTTTTTTTTTTTTTTTTTTTTTTTTTTCTTTTTTTTTTTTTTTTTTTTTTTTTTTTTTTTTTTTTTTTTTTTTTTAAGTTTCTGGGTTGAAACATGTAAAGGCTTGCCAGTCACTGTGTGTATCAGGGAATGATACTGCCTTTGAAGAAGATTTTAATGAAAAACAATTCTACCTAGTGTAGCTTTTCCTACATTGGTTTTCTTCTAAATTTGATTTGATAACAAACTTAATGTGAAGAAGTTGCTTCATACGTTACTTCATATGTAGTACAGTCTGGCTTCCTTTTGTATCCTCTAGTCTTTCCATGGCATCACTGCAACAGATCCCACCTTTTCCTATATTCCCAGTTTCTCCATGTCAATTGAAAAAAATGTTGGAA